TAATCCACTTTAATGTTAATAATTTAATGATCATATAATCAAATAAATATGATTGTTTTGTAATGTTATTATAGTTTAGAAAATCACTGCCTGAAAATGTTCATTAAATTAAAAAAAAATTATCAGATCATGTTTAATTTTACTTATTTATTTCAAAGCATCGCGTACTATCAATCTTATTCAATTTTACTTTTACGCGAAATTAAGTCCATAAATTTTGTGCGAGTTTTTACCGGTTTACCAAAGTAAATATGTTTGTACAAGAATTGCACGTGAAAAAAAAAAAAAAAAAAAAAAAAAAAAAAAAGAAAAGAAAAAAAAAAGCGTGAAATGCAGTAAAAAGTGTTTTAATAAGATATATTAAATTCTATTTGGAAGAAACTGTGACTTTCATAATCGCATCACTATACAATGTATCACATTTAATAATTAAAAAGAGTTATGTGATACAAACCCCATAGGTTTCAGTGTTAAAGTAAACCAGATCATCCCTACTCTTTCTTGCCGACATGTCGGTGAGGCTTGCCCACTGGTTAATCTATCTCTTATAAGGTTCATGAAATAAGAGAGAGAGATATATCCGACATTTTAATTTAGGATGACTTGCATACATTGCATTAAACAGTTTTATCATTGTGTGCATTGCTTTACACAATTTTATCATCCTATACAGTACAAAGTCTTTAATTCGGACGTCCATATCTAAGTGATCTATAATCTGGACATCAAAGCTACAAACTTTCTGCGTATGCGCATATGCGTTTATGCATGCGCGTTTAATGTACAACGGACGGTATAAGCTAGGCTAAAATTATCTATTTCAGTTAATGCTGCAGTTTGCGTTGTTCCTTTATCTTCGAATTGTATCCGGCTTATTATTTTTTGCAGACTGTTAGAGCAATTTTATAAAAAGTAAGCTTGAACTTTTGATTATGTCAAAAAGAGTTTCCGATTCTAGAGCTGCCAAAGGATCTACAAAGCGTAAGCATGTTTCGATGTCCGTCAAACAAAAAGTGGAATTGCTGCAAAAATGGATAAAGGCATGAAGAAAGTGACAGAGAGGTTCGTGAAAACAAAAAAATTTCGATTGACAAGTTAGTCGCCATTCTTGGCACAGCAATTATAGGACTTGAACAGCGGAAATCTGTAACTGAACAAGAAATTATGTCTATTTATAGAATTAAAGAGAAAGTATTAGCACATAAAATGAAGTAACTTAAACAACTTACATTGAAATGAAATGTTTAATAAAGTAAACAAATAAATATTAAGCTTTTTTTGTAAATTTTGATACCCTTTAGATCATAATTGCTCTTTATTTCATAAATTACGGTTTTATATTTTTAATTTTATAATTTCTGCATGCCATCTAACCAGATTTAAATTGATGATCTATAATCCGGAAAAACCCCTAATCTGGAATCGCCGAAGTCCCAACGAGTCCAGATTAAAGCCTTTGTACTGTATTTTGCACCAAATTTTACAAAATTTAATATTTAGTCATAATTTGAGTCGTAGAATCAAAATATGTAAAAAAAGTAGTATGTTATTTCAGAAAAAGTCCGATTTTGTGTCAAAACACTTATGTTAGAATAGTGCTATATATAAATTTAATATATATTCTAAGTCGCGCTTTTGAGACATGAAAAATGCAATTTGAATTTCATCATTTGGCCCAGTAGAATGGGAGACGCAGAACTGTTCCCCCTTTTTGTGCAGTGTACATACACTATAAATGCATATATATATAATAAACATTATGACTATAACAAGATATCTGACATATATAGAATGTTACCAAAACAAAATATGCACACAATTATTTATTATTATAAATAACACTACATAAAAACTAACCAATTTTAATAATTGTAATGCCCATAACCTGATGAGGGAAAGGAAAAAGGTCTGGTGAGAGAAATAATTAGTCCGACGGAGCAATCACTGGTGATCGCCCATTGGTTTGTTGGACAGAAGCAATAAAAAAATATAAAAAATCTGAAAGGTTTCAGGTTTTATATTACGTCCAAAGGGCGTTTTTTTAACGTTTGGTGTGTTACCTTTCTTTATTAAATATCATGTTCTATGTACTCAAACTATAAAATACACTTCAACAGCAATATCGCAAATTAATTTTAAAATGAGCATATGTTTAGAATTTCTGATAGAGTCTCACACAATGGAGATAAAACTCCTTTCCCCCCCTCGCACAGTGTTGCCATTGCTCGCTTTGAAATCGTTGAGTTTTTTTTTAATAAAAAATTTGTTGAAGTGTTACAAAACCTGAAATCGATAATAAACAAATTCCAAATTCCATATGCCCATATTCTATGGAAGATTACGTTATTCAAATTTTTATGGCTCTAGGTACCGTTGCTTTATCACAATGCGAAAAACATGCATAGATTTATGCAGATTCTTCATTATTTAATTTCTTTAAATATAAGACAGGACGATAATATATGGTAGCAACGATTTGAAAAGTGATACAGCCTTTTAAAATTTCAATGCAAAATGCCAAAATGAAATTAATAATAGTCCTTCAGGGCAAATTGCCCCTTTGGACTAAAAAGTAAAGAAAAAGAATGAAAAGGATAGTCATGGCAAGGGGACTTTTTCCCATGGATGTCGGAGGGGATGGTCAGATTTTGGTTTGGAGGATTGTCCCCATTTTTTTAACGCAAGGACTGTTATTCCTTTCCGACACAGAGCTAGATTTAGAGCCCAAATGTTTGTAACCTATGTTGTTGTCTAATCAAGAGTTTATTTCTTATTAAAGTTTATTACTAAACAAAAAATAAATAAAAGGAGTCAGTTGAAGAACCATGTGTGAACAAAGTGAACCGTAATTCAGAAGTCAAACAACAAAAATCAGCGTTAATTTTCAAAATTTTCACAGTGTTATTGTGTCTTAAAGTGAACCCTATGCTACAGGAAGGAATACTATAACTAACTGCTATTTATCGGATGATGACATCACTTAGAATCAAAAATACGTAATACTAAAAATAAATGTCAGGAATTCCTTCTATTTGCAATCAGATATTTAAATACTATTTTCAAAACTTTATCAGTATACATGCCCCTTCCAAAAAATAAATGTCAGGAATTCCTTCTATTTGCAATCAGATATCTAAATACTATTTTCAGAACTTTATCAGTGTACATGCCCCCTTCCAAATTACAATTAAAAGAAATCTCAGAATCTAAGTTATAAAATTCTATCCCAGATATCACTTATGCACTTTAAGGAAAGCAATATAAAATTTAATTTTCTCATAAATGAGACAAATACATTCCAAACTAAAATTGATAATAATAATAATAATAATAAACTTTTATATTTTGCAAGCTAAAATATCATATTTTATTTAACTGCTATATATCCATATTTATTCCATGGTCTTATATTAAAAAGTTCTTTCCTTTTAATTGACAGGTCTGAAGTAAAAATAAATTTAAACTTAAAATATGCACAGTTCACTTCAGATAACACACATTTCTGTAGATGAGTAAAGAACTTAAATTAATAACTAAGTCATCAAGAATGCATGTGAGCCAGATTTTGAGATATCCATGAAAGATTAGAATCAGTTGTTAAAAGCTTCAAAATATATTAAAGGGGAATATCATCACAAAATTACATTTGAGTGACAAATTGACATGCATATTGTTGACAGGTAAATAAAATTTCTAATAAACATATAATTAAAAAGTATAAAAATAAGTAATACAGCTTTTCAATATTAATTTTATGAAGTCTCAGTACTTATGTATTAAACTGGTATCCACTGATACACTCTTATTTATTGGAACCTTAATGGCAGTGAAACATATTTTAGATGTCAGCAGATTGTTGAAACAGGTTTTTTTTTAAATTTCTGATTGGTATAGTTTAGAAAATTCTATTAAAAATGCCATCAGATTATTATTATCGATAGCTTATATGTCAGCTGTCCAATATGAATTCCACTAAATAAGAAAAGTGACTTCTCCCAATTTCCATTCCTTATTCTAATACTTTACCTGGCTGTTGCTGATATCATTTTAATTATGTAGAGTTTCAAAGAATAAGAAGAGGAACTCTAGAAAAATTTTGGAAAAATAGCATGTCTAGAAATAATGTATTGCTTCTGCTTCATAAAATATAAAATGGCATAAAAATTAAAATGAGACAAACAAAAATTTTTTATGTGAAAGTGTTGCCAAAAAAATTATGCAATGCAGACATGGGCCTGAGTTAATCGGTTTAAAGTCTGAAATAAAAATAATTATAATAAAAGCTTTTCCCCACCACCTCTTTAAGAAAATATTAATAAGAAAAGACTATGATAGTATAATTTTATGTGTAGAAGAACCAGCAACAGCTTCTAAAATTGCTGAAAACTTGTAAGAATCAGAACAGTCAGGAGTGGTATTTTTGACATTGTATGGGCAACTGCTTTCTGAATTGCTGCAAAGTATATATTGATATGACTCAACAAAGTATAAATCCACATGAAATTTCTTCATTATTTTAATAAAAAAATTAATTATTCACAACAGTAAATTTCATGCATGACATATCAATCCAAACTGTCTCATAATTATTCGCAATATATAAAAGCAAGCAGACTTACTTTACAATGAATGTATGATGGTGTATTTAGTTATGGCAAAGCTCACTAGGGCTATCTGCCTAAGGGGAGGGATGCCTTCGTGGAGGACTTTCTAAGGGAAACTGGCTCGTATACACGTTACACATGGGGAAAACCACGAAAACACCCATGCAGCCAGCCCGTTCGCGGGATTCGTACCTCGGACCGAACTACCAGTGTTCAGCGACTTTACCGCTCGGCCGCTGGTGGGCCCTTTTTTTTTTCCATATATTTTAATTCTAAATGTTAGAACTTTCATTTTATACCCTTTTTCCTGGATGACTATACAATGTAAATCTACCACTAATATTTTATAGCGAATATTCTCCATAATGTATGGAGTTGATTAATTAAACAAGCCTATTTCATTTCATAACTTTTATTCAACTTTCAACCCAAAGTGAAAATTTAACAAAACAATTGAAATATTAAAGTACACAGTAATGCATTGCAGCAGACTTCATTACATTTAATTACTAAGAAATTTGACAGTTCATGAACTAAATATGGAATGTGCTGAAAATATCAGCTCATGATAATGATGACTATAAAATTAAATTTTTATAAAAGCCAACAGAACATAATCAAATAATCTACAAAAATAATGAAAGCAAATTATTCAGATTAACTATAAACTATGGTTGTACAATTAGCACACCACTGAAATTCAACAATAAACCATAGCCAAACAGCAACATATTCGTATTGCTCTTGAGACCTTTTTTATACATATAATACAGAACATTTATGTGATGAGTATGTGCATGGCACTAAGAATTCCAAAGTTCAATGAGCTACAGATAAAACTCTGATTAGAGAATTTCATATCTCATAAAACCATATGATCCAGATACTTAAAGATTGTGAAAAAGAAATTTGAAACTTACACATTAATCATGATATTAACTAATTATGATATTGAGATATTTTTTTAGAATTTATCTTGTTCTATTGCTACACTTATTGTGCAGATCTCATATATATAATCCTAATTAATCATGAAAATATAATGTAAAATATTATAATTCAAAATAAGTACATAGAAATCTCTCAGTGTGATTACTTTTCTAAGACAATCACCTTTGAGAGTGACCAAAGCTTTTGAGAACAAAAATAATGATACTGAATTATGACTAACAATCACGTCCTCTAAAGTGACCTAATGTCCACAGAGGATATAAAATCTTCTGCAACTGTGGGTGTTTGTCTTAAGAAGATTTTCATTGCATCTGAAATTAAATAAACTCATATCTTGCCAAAAACAGCTAAACATATAAGATTAGTTTCAAACACAATTATAAGTGAATCCACACAAAAAGGTACACATAGATTCAAAACAATGAAAAATATTTAACTCAATTTCCTCAAACTATTCTTTTTTTCAAATATACTTTTTTTTTTCCAATAAATTATCAAAAACTATTTATAGATACAATGAACTCATTTCACAAAAACTTCCATCTGAAAAATATTTTATATTGAAAATTTAATTTGAAAATTATAAATTTTAGAGTACTTTAGCCATGATAAAGGTTAAGTACCTTAAACCGTTTTAAAAGTACACATTATACAGGGAAAACAATAACAATAGCACCGCGCTCTTTCAAACAATTAACGAGTCTGTTCTTGGACACTGAATTCCCATCGAAGACAACTCAGCGCAGAGCATTTAATGCATTGACGTGCCAATCATCAGAGAAAAGGACTAGTTTTATATCTGGTGAAGAAAGAATATATATAAAAAACAATAACCAAAATTCCATATTTTAAAAGTATTAATTTAACACAATAGAACAAATTACTAGTATAACTACGAAAAATAACAAAATATGTTAAAGAAAATATCATAATTTCATTGAAAATAAAAACATACCTGTAAGTCAGGTACAGTGATAGAAAACACTTTCACGAATATTGTTTAATAATAATAATACCACATGGAAGTTATGATAAAAAAACCATTAACTAATTAAAAAGCAGAAAAATTAAAGGTAACACTTTAAAATCTTACATATGAGCTACACAAATTTTTTATGTTTATTGAACAGTAATTATTACTTAAAAAACTACATGGCAGGTGATTTTATATTTTAAGCTTTAAAGCAAACTTTGCAATGATACTTAAAAAAGTACCTCATCAGAAATATAATCGTATCAGTTAATCTGTTGCATTATTTGGCACATAGCAAATTTTTATGTGATTAACTACATAAAACATTCTTACAAATAATAATAGCACACCGAACTCTGTTTTTACAAAGTATATAGATATGTTCCTAAAATGTGTGAGGTATAAGAAGAAATTAGAGTACATATAAAAAACAGACTAGTTCCTGATGTGGAAACCTTATACAAAATAAGTTGTTTTAAAAAATATCAAAATCTTTAATTTTATTAAACACTAGCTATTTTATAAATTTAGAATTGCATTTAGATTATTAACTAGATTTTTTTCATCAACACTTTCTGACAACAGATGCATTTATTTGGAGAGGACTAGAGTTAAATTTCTTTCATGAATTGTTATGTTCATACTGCAAAGGCAAAATGATTTGAGGTATTATATGCAGTAAAAAGTCCCCAATTCTGAATTATCTAATCTGTATGACCAGCAAATATTTTTTTCCCTAACTAAGTTTTAAAAATGGAGAATATAATACTCAAGAAGGTGCAACAAGTTTTTCTCTCGATTTTTTCTCTCAAGGAATTGAGACTCTTGAATGTCACTTTCAAATACCTGAATCACAGTGTGATCAATGACAAACAATGATTGATATATTGATATTTAACTATGACCACACTTTTGGCCCTTGAATGATTAAAGGGTAGCATTTTCCCCTGTTAAGCCCCAAGACACAACTGGAGTGGGATAATGCTTAAACTGGTTTTCTCAGCATAACAGCAAGGAAAGAATCAAATTCTGAGAAACTTAAGTTCAGTTAACATAGCAAATTGCATTCTTCTTTTTAACTTTCTTATTTGAAGCAAGTTATTATTTTGTCCAGCTGCTATTATTTATATTATCAAAACTACAGTTATAGTAAATGACAACATTTCTTCTTTACTCTTTCTCCAGAATGGTACACTGTCAATCAGCCAACGGATATCGGAATTTTTCATGCACTGAAATGCATATATACTAAGTAGCTTTTAAATAACCAATGCAGCAGTAAGAACATCCCAGAATTTTAGAAATATTTTAATAAAAAGTCTAATGTGTGGGACATAGCAAGACCATGAGAGGGTGTGACAATAAATATTTTTAAAAAAGCTTTGCATAATTTGTAGCCAGCTACCAAATTTCATGATGATAATGAAAGCTTTCATTCTGAAGGATTCTAGATATCGCAAGCCAAAAGTGAAATTTTGTGGTTAAGGGAATATGAGAAGAAATGCTAAATAAAGATGATATAACTGAAGTCTTACATTGCAATGACAACGATTCAATCATTAATCAGTTGATGAAACAGCAAACATCTGCAGTACTGGTCTGCAATTGGTATTTGACTCAATTTTCCAGAAATTTTGGGCTCTCTCTGGTAAAAACAAGTCTTTATGAATGTCATTACTTTCTTCATTAATATCATTACACTAATTTTCTAGATAATATTATTAGTTTTTTTCCATAATATTGCTGACAAAATTGATAACTTTTAAGTAAGAACTACTAAAATATTCAGTTCCTTTTTGTCTAGGCATCTTTCTCTACTTAGATGAAATGGGGAAAAAAAAGCATTTTATTTGTGAAAGTGATTGCACAACTGGGTAGAACTATCTGACAAAGGGAAGGGATGCCTTTAAAGAGGAGGGCTTTCTAAGAGAAATTGACTCTTATCTATGTTACTCATGGGAAAAATCACAAAAATATCCATGCAACTGGCCTTTTGCATGGAATTAAACCCAGGTCAAATGACCGGTATTCAATGATTTTACTGTTGCTGGTGTGCCCTTTCTTAAAGAGAAAGACCAGATTTCATAAATCTTTTGTAATCAAATATTATAGCCGTAATTACAGTCACATATTATTAATTGCAGTGATAAGCAAAGAAATTTCAGTTAAAAAAAAGCACTTTTAAATAAAAATTTTCCCCAAAATATTGAAATACCAGTTATCCCCAACATTTGTTATATTCTTTGCTTACCAAAAATTAATCACTTTTAACATTACTTTAATGGGAACACAAAAATAATTTTTTATTTTTTATTTTTTAAACTAATCAATAAAAATAAATGATATCAATTAGGCAGCTACCTAACCGATAAGTCTAAGACAGTAATAAGACAATAAAAATGTGTAAAAAGAATGCTATTTCACATGCTAAACAAAGTTCAGTCATTTTGAAAATGACTTAGCATTGTAACAATTGTTGCTAATATACAAAAGCTACATTTAATTTTTAGTATGCGTTGACTAATTTACATGGAATGACAAATTAAAATGGTGGATGCAATTTTGTGGGTGAATTGAAAAAAACTGTTTAAAAATGTGTTAAAAGAATCAAATTAAATGTGAAAATTCAAAGGCTTTGAAGTAGAACTGTAAAACTATGGAAAGGTTATAGAAAGATTTTTATAGGTTTTAATTACTAGATTTTTAATTTTAAATTGTCTAAAAACGTTGAAGCGGCAAAATGTAAAAAGAAGGAAAACAATTCACCTTCTGTCAAAGTTAACCTCTTCATTTGTTCCTAGTTCACTCAATGATAAGTTTTTGTTTGTAAATAAAGTCATTAGATATTTAAGTGTTGTAGTGTAAGTAGTTTAATTTCATTTTGAATATCACAAACTTCAATGCAATTGTTTTTAATTTGGTGAATTTAATTAATATTTTTTGGAAGATGTTTGATTTCCATAAGTTTTTTAGTTCTAAAATTTAAAAATACTCTTTTGTCAAACGAAATTTTTCCTATAATAATCTACTTGTAGTAAATAGTCACTGGTTTTAAGTTTAAAATCATTTGTGATAAACACTTTTTCAATGATACCCTTATTATTAATAGTGATAATATCACCAATGTATCTAAAATGGAATTTTTCTTTCAATTTTGCATAATGGTAAGTTCTTTTACAAATAGATAAAGACTGCAAATGCTGTAACTTGGTACTGTAAACTGGAATTTTTCTTTCAATTTTGCACAATGGTAAGTTCTTTTACAAATAGATAAAGATTGCAAATTCTGCAATCTTTATCTTAGTTAGTAATCAATAACTACAGGTATACCATTAATTTGTTTGAAAATTTAATTGTCATTTTAAATATAGCCACAAAGAAGTGTGCATTTGAGAAAGGTAATCTCGAAAACGATTTCTTTAACCAGATGAAGTTTCTTCTAAGGTGACTCAACATATCTGACTATTGTTTCCAATGGTAAAGTTGTACAGAGAGTTTTTGAAATCAAATTGATTTTGAAAATAATCTTTTAATTTTTTTAACCTTTTTTTTTTTTTTTTTTTAATGATCCAAAAATAGTTTTGATTATTGTGGACTTTACTGGCAATATATACATAAATTTCTTTTAGTATTTTAGCAAAGGTAATGTTGAGAGCTTTCTTGTGGCTCCATTAGCTACAAAACTTAATTGGATTTTTCTGCTATTTTGGTACAGTGTAGATTACACAGTCTATTATAATTAAAATTCTGGTTAACTTTCAGTTTTGTATGGAAGATTTGAATTTTAATAATAGTTTTTTTTCTTTGGTACTGGTAACTAATGTATACACAGAGTTGGATTTATAAAACACTTTTAAATTTGATTTATACGTGGGCATTCAATTTTGAATGAATTTCTTAAGCACATTCTTATCTCTTGGCCTACACACAGAATTATGCAAGATTTGTTTATTCATCCAAAATTTACAAAATATTTAAGACTTTTCCCCTTATGCACAGCTAATTCATCTAACACCAAGGTAAAAATCTCTGACATTTTGTAGATATCTTAACACTTAAATCACAGACTGAAGTATAAAACATTTGACTGTAATGATACATCATACGCATAATTTTACAGTACAGATTTTAACTTTCATATCAAAACAATTAGGCATTAAAATTATAATTTTCATATAATTTCCCATTAGAAGAAGAAAGAAAGCAGAACAAATTAAAAATTTCATAAAACAAAATCATGATCACTGGCTTGAGATGAAAATATATTTCCACATACATTATTACCTGACTCTAATCTACCATACAATTGATAACATAAATGATGTTCTTTAGCATGCAAAATTAACACCACTACAACAGAAAAGGCTATATAGAACATGCATGTTTATTAAATGATACAGAAAATATTCCCATACAAAATAGCAGCTCAAGGATATTTACAAATAATGATGTACATTAGATAGCAAAGCACATATTTAGTTTCAGTAACTAAGATTACTTTAAGATCACATTCTGAAAAGAAATGTGTAAGCTAAGTTACCAAATTGGTGAAATCAATATCTTTATATGTAAAGAATAATGCAGAGAAATTTTAAAACTGGTTATTTTTTATAAATAGCATTTTATGATAAATTAAAAAAAACGGTCTATATTTTTTTATATATATTTCATTTTATAATTATTTTAAATTAAATTTTTGGTTGCCATTCATTAGAGCTCAGCATTTAACATCTGAAGACCCACACAACTGTGCATGTGCACTCATTCCACATAAATTCCTTTTTAAAATTATAAACCAAGTTGTAACCGCAGCTGAAGCAGGGGTTTACTCTTGGAACTTTAGCTTAGCGGAGCTGTTGTGCAAAAATTGTACCAACTATCATGCTGAAGTGGCTGCTAACTGGCCCTGATTTAAATGATTAAAAGTAATGATTAGCATTGTGATATTTATTGATTCACAGGTCACTATTAAAGCAATTTCTTCAGCCATACTTTTAAACAATGGGTCTATTCTAAACCGTCAGCTTGTGATGAATTCTTTAATAAATAATGGTCTTATGATGTTACTCAGCAGTGGATCCCAAGTTATTCTGGAATCATGGGTAATAAGTTTGCTAACACTCTGGCCAAGGCTGGCTAGATCTGCCCTTCTTCAATCTAATCCCTCTGTTAAGGGATCACAAAGGGAAGACAATCATTGCACAGATGTGGAGCTCATCTTTAAGAGAAGAATGGGTACTCCATGAAGGGGAAGATTTGAGGTTCGCTAATGGAGAATCCCATTCCTTGCGACCTACCTAGACTTGAAGGCGTGCCTAAATTTAGATTAAAAATTTGACATGACCACCTACACACATCTGGTTTAGCAGACTCTCCATCTTGCCATATTATGTGATACTGACAACATGTGCGGTGACCATTTGGACATTTGTTCTGAACTTAATGATGTGGCAACAGCTAATGCTGTCAAAAATTATTGTACTCTTTTTTTTTTTTTTTTTTTAATGTTTCTGAATTGTATTGGACTGCTTGTTACAGAATAATGGTGGTCATGCCTAGGTCTGGCGTAGGACAAAAATCAATCAATCAATCAAACTGCAATATGCAAGCTAGACTAACTAAAATATTTGGTTTAACTTTGAACCTTAAAAAATCATTTTTAACCCTTTGATGGTTATGAATGAGTTCAGCTCGCAATCGAATCGTGCTTCATAATGCGCGCAAACGAGTTCCGCTCGGGAGCAAGATTTTGACCGAAATGGTTAGTAACGAGCACTACTCGCGTAGTGAAATTTTTCCCCCAATGCGCGCTAACGAGCTGACTTCGTTCGCCATTATTATTCTGCACTGATTGTGTTTCAAACAAATTATTAAACGAATTTAGTTAGTTTTACTGTCTACAGATGGCAGTACGAGTTCCATGAATTTCTTTGCATAATGAAGGTGGATATTTTTTTTTTTTTTTTTTTTTTTGACCTTGTTCATTTTATACGTATTTTGGCGTGATTTTTAGGGTGTTTGTACAGTAAAATGGCTCAAAAGAGAAAGATAGTTATGATGATGATTATGATTGTGATACAAAAAGCTTATCAAGTTTTTGAATCTGATGAAGACTTTGTTCACAGTATTTCAAGCTCAGAAGACGATTCAAGCGATGAGGAAGATTTTTCGAATGTTCGACAGTGGTGTATAATTGATTCAAGTTCTCACGCTCCTAGCCGATTAGTTTTACTAGTGATGTAGGCATGAAAGCTTGTGTGACAAATATTTCTGAAATTCTCTATTAGAAAAAACCTACTAGACGATGTGTGGTATGTTGCAGCAAAAATGATGCTAATGGAAAGAGAATTCGCCGTGAAACACGTACGTATTGCAAAGACTGTAATGCTCCATTATGTGCAATTCCATGTTTTAAAGTATATCACACACAAAAAGATTTTTAGGTAATTACTGTATTTATACTGTGCTTCATAAAGTTTTACATTAGTTGTATTTATTTAGTCCTTTCAATTTAATATTTGTCTTGTAATTATAATTAACTATTATTATTATATAATTGGTTATAATCATTTATAATTTACTGTTTAATAATTATTTTAAAGTATGTAAAAACTGTTATTTTATGTACTACAAATACTTTAAGAAATTTTTAGCCACTTTCGACTACTGTTTACTCCTAATGCTGTGTGAATTAAGTAAATGGAGCTCATTTCCATAACCGTCAAAGGGTTAATGAATAATATTTCACAATTATATATATATTTTTAAACTCTATATTTTTCTTTTATATATTTAATTTTATTACTTTAAAATTAAGTTTTTGATTGCCCTTTATTAGAGCTCAGCATTTAATGTCATTGGCCCCATGATAATTCATAATTGCATTCATTCCTACAAATTAAATACCTTTTGCAATTACATATCAAACTGTAGTACATGAATCAACTAACTAAAATACTTGGTTCACTAAAATTCTTGGTTCAAGTTTAATCCTTAAAAAATCAAGATTATAATAATGATTTATTACTTTGTTACTTTCATGCCCATGTCATTGCTACAGAATAGTTTCCAAGAACTTATGTTTCAAAGCCAAAAGTAAACTTTCATACAGCTGGCCTAAAAAAGTTACTATATCAAATATAAATTCTAACAGCTTTAATAGCTAGTCCCAGCCTAAATTTTTAAAAGCCCTAACTAGCCTAAATTTTCTATTTTTAAAAATTATTTTAACAACAGAAAAAAGTTTATTTAAGTGGTAGGAGAGAATCACAGTTATATCTCTAAAGAGTTAAAGTTACTTCTCTACACAAATTCTTCACAGGACACCACAAATGTGTCCAATATTTAATATTAGCAATGCTTAAACATATATTTACATAAAATCAAACTGTTCTTCATCAAAGCAAACATTTGTGAAAGCATACTGCTGAGTTATTTTCTATTTGTACTGAAATAAAACTTGAAGCAACATTTAAAATAAGTTATTATATAAGGTCTACTGGAAAGTTCTGTCTGTTTCTATGACAACAATTTTGGACGCATAAGCACGTTTATTTGGCGCATATACAGCTCTCTATTTTTATCACTTAACGAATACATACTGACATAGCAAATTAACTAAAGCAAAGCTGATTTACGTTAGTCTTAAGTGTGAAGCGATAGTGTAGCTATGGCTACTGATAAAGATCATTTACGCCGCTGTATTTTATATGAATTTCAACAACGAAGAAATGCTACAGAAGCATGTGTTTGGTGAAGGTACAGTTTCTGATAGAAGATGCAGAAGATGGTTTGAAAAATTTGAAATAGGTGATTTCGACTTTTCTGATAAGCCACGTTCTGGGAGACCATCTTTAATTGACAACGATGTTGTTAAAAGCATGTTAGAGCAAGATCCTTTTCTGCCAACATCGGAGATCGCAGAAAGGCTTAATTCAGCTCAGCAAGCCATTTCAGACCATATTCGAAAGATAGGATTGGTGTGCAAATATTCAAGAGCCACACGAATTAAGTCAAAAGAATTTGGATGATTGAATCATTGCATGCACATCTCTGCTTGCTCGGAACAAAATGGAGCCCTTCTTGAACCGGATGATAACTGGGGATGAAAAGTGGATTACCTAAGAAAACATCATAAAAAAAAGGGCATATTGTGAACCCTGAAAACCTAGCCCTTATACCTCTAAACCAAATTTGACTCTGAATAAGAGAATGTTGTGTATATGGTGGGACATTCGAGGTCCAATACACTATGAGCTTTTAAAACTGAACGAAAAGCTCAATTCAGAGATGTATTGTCAGCAGCTGTATAATTTAAAGACAGAATTAAAAAAAAAAAAAAAAAAAAAGACTGGCCATGTTCAACAGGAAGGACATCATACTGCATCATGATAATGCCAGGCCACATGCTGCTTTGGGAACTTGTCAAAAAATTGCAGAACTAGGCTGGGAAATTCTGTCACATTCACCATATTCTCCGGACTTAGCACCCTCTGATTATCACTTGTTTTTGTCATTACAAAATTTTTTGAAGGGCAAAAAATTCAAAAATGAAGAAAATATCAAACTAACACTTATTCAACATGAAACAATTTTCAAAAATGGAATGTACAAATTGCCCTCCCGCTGGCAAGAAGTCATTAATAGTAATGACAATTATATTACTTAGTAAAGTTTATTGATAGTAAGAAAAATTTGTCTTTTTTTTTTATTAAAAAAGGTACAGAACTTTCCAGTAGACCTTATACATATACTTCACGATACTGAATCAATAAATGTTTATATTTTTGTTACATACTTTCACAAAACTCCAAAAGGATCATTTGATGGTTGACGCCCAGCTACAGATCCAGCTGTGGGGGTTCCTTGTATCACAGTATGTTGTGGTGATGGCGTTCCATATATAACTTGTGTTTGCATTTGAGGATGAACCATAGGTGGCTGCTGCACTGCATATGTAGTAGGTACTGCAGCATTCCAAACAGCCGGCATCTAAGAATTGCAGAAGTAAAATTTCATCCAGAATTTTATAGATATAATGATATGAATGCAAAATATACTTTTGGTTTCATTTTGGAGCAATGTATTAAAACAAATAAACTATAGCAGCATTTTCTGTAAGAAAAAAATAAATTTAGAGAAGCACATTCAAACTGCATTCCAAAAATAATTATATAAATACCTAAAACTGTAATGTTGTGTATCAAAAATATGAATTATCATTCAAAAGTGATAACAAGTTCCAAATAATAAAATATTTTCAAGGTTTATCCCATATAAAAATGATACATTACAAAATATATTATAAAATACTTAAGTCTAAAAATAACATTAGAATTACACTTTCATAGAAAGAACTAATATATAAACAAACTGAATAAATTTCAACATTTTAAAAATTTTACATCAAACAGTTTAAATAAAACATTTTTCGGTACTTTTCCGTTTTGCTGGCGCAAACGATAAAATCGCCAATAATGGTTTAACTGATGCCAGACGAAATATCTTCGCTGGTAACCTTTTACGCCTCAGTTTCAAAACAAGTTGAAGCCATTTCTTATCAGATTGTTTCTTTCAATACTGGCATATAGAATTTTTACACGATATTTAAATTTTATCCCCTAAGACAATTCACGGTAATAAGTCAATTAGTTCTAAGTCAATTAGAACGCAATTACACCGCTCATCCGAAGGCGAAATCAAGTGTTAAATTCATCAATTCTAATGAGAATGCACTAGCGAAGTAAAGCACTGCGGTTTTACATAATTTCTGAGTAAGCTATTCGTACAAATTGAAATAATTCTTGCATTTAAACTTGTATTCCAAATTAAGATTTAACTTGAAATTAATGTAGATAATTACTGAGGGCGAATTAGATTTTTAGTAGTGTAGTTTACGTGAGATGAGATCACTTGGGGTCACGTGATACGAACCGGCGAATCAGGATTTTGAACCATGAAATCATAGTAAATTCTTAAATTAATGTCTTTTTACAAATTTATTGTCTTTATTTATTGGCTTTTTACAAAATTTTAAACCATATTAAAATGTTTATGCCTTCAAAAAAAAAAAAAAATTCTTAGAATTAACATTTTTTATGTGTATACTGTATGTTGTCGCCAACAAAGTCTGCTTGGCGAGATTTGCGCCGGCGAAACGGAAAAGTACCCATTTTTCACTGGCTTAAATATTTCTTGAATTATTCTATATGCACTTGATTATGCATTACTAATTGTTATGGGTATATTAAATTTGAATTAGTAATCCAGATAAAGAAAAACCAAAATCTTTTGTTGCAGGTTCCAGAGATAACTACTTTTTTAATGGGAGGGGGGAATCAGTTAAAATTATTTGAAGAAAGTAGAAATAATGCCATAACTCATTTGAGTACAAAATGAATACTGAAAACTATAAATTTGGTTGCAAAGGTTAAATGCCACTGAGTATTTAAAACTAAACAGATTAATCCTCAATTACACAGCATCTCTCACCACTTCTCACATTTATAAAAAATATAAATACAGAAACACCACCAACAGCCAGCAAAATATGAAATATACATACAAAAATATGTTTTTATACATAACAATATTAAATTATTTTATTTACTACATGGCACTTGCAATTTGCAATGCATCACTTCATGCTTTTATAAGACTGCTTATGAGCAAGTTTCAGTTTCTAGTCCTTATTTTCAATAAACAGAATAAAAATATTTTCCCTCCTAGCCCATAACAAACAAAAAATGCCTCAAACTCAATTTTTTTTTAGAACTTCAATAGTTTTTTTTTGGGGGGGGGTGCTCAGTATCAAAAGCAAATTCACTTTCATCTCCTCAGCAATTTAATATTTTTATGGATCAGCATTTGAGCAAATCAACAATATTTCCACTTTTTTCCCAACTTGATTTAAATCATGTTCCTTGGCATGATTTGAAAGAAATAGCATTACAGATGTAATTCTTACTATGATAACACAGTTATAAAGAGTATTGAAAGTTGAAATATTTTTAGAAGTGAACTAAATGTCCTCTGCATTTGACAATGAAAAAATATAAACAGAAAAATTTTGTTTTTAAATAATGTAAAGAAATATTTGGGCATAATATAATATATGATTCAGAAATGCTGTTTTTGTGAAGATAAAACCAATGTAACCTCATTCTTTTCCATATGCCCGAAAAACGATAAATAATTACTTTTTCTCATATAAAAAACGTAAACTTACAAACCCAGAGATGAGATGAAATGTAGATAAAAAAATATAAACCTCCAAACATAAACATATGACATTCAGTTTTTTATTATGAAATAGTTACTTTTTTTTAACTGAATTTAGACAATTTTTTCAGTTTTTTAAGCAAGGAATATTTAAACAGCATGTTCTGTGTCTGCATGAACTGCTCACAAAGCACACTTATCATTAACTTTGATATAATAGAATAATTTAGAACCTAATATAAAAAAGTATTGTAAAATTTGTAAATTAGAAAAACTGCCAAAAGAGCCAAATGATACACAAATGTTCTGCATGAAAACATCTGTATGTGGTACCCACTTTCATAAATGGATTCACATCTACCATTTATAAAAGACAGCTCTTTGCAAATGAGTTCAAAAAATAACATGTTCATCTTTTACAAATATCTCATTATAATCACTTGCATTAAAAACAGTGAAAAAACATACTAACCCTATAAGGCGGCTGGGGTATCATGGCAGGCAACACAGCAGGTTGATATCCATACCCAGGTACATTAACCATTCCAACCACACCTTGAGCTACACCCATGGCCTGTAAACATTTATAAACATATTGCAATTCTTGATCTCATATAAAAATTTCCTTTATTATCCAAATAAACTGAGAAATTTACCTACAATTAAGCTGACAATATAACATTTCACTAAATTGAAATCTTGTTTTTAAAATGAAAGCTTAAAAAAAAAATTTGGCTTATTTAAAAAAAAAAAAGAAAAGAAAAGAAAAGAAAATCGAGAAATTGACTTTTACAGCTAAAATATTCATGATATTTCAATTATTCTCTACACATTTTAATATTTTGTCCTCACCCCTAAATTAACAAAGAATGGCAATATGGAGGGAAGCAATAGTAACTGTGAATTTATTAAAGAACTCTGAAGTTCTTGTTACTGTACAGTGGATTTGATCTTTCAGATTCATTGACAGCTACGGAAAACCCAGGAAAAGAAATCTTGCACCCTGAGGAGCTCCAACTTCTGTATATGTTTGGAATAATTTAAATTGTATTTTGATTCCACAGGCTACATATTATGTTTTTAGTCCATATTAAATAATGCACCCAGAAAAAATAGTTATATACTGCTTCAAAATATTTTTTAATTTGCTGATGAAATAACATTGAAAACAAATGTAACATCACCCACATAACTTTGAAATGCCACTCTTAATATACTTTTCAGTAAAATATACTATGTATCCTTAAATACACAGGTGCATTAATGAGAAAACAAATTAATGAAAATGTTGCTGACGTAAAGAGACAAAATCACATAATTTTCCCCTCTAAGGCTCTTGGAAATCTGCATGTGCACTCTATATACTGTATATGTATAAAAACATACTCATCAGACAGTTCATTCTTAATAACAATAAAACATTTGCCATAAGCAAAAAGGAATTCATTAGACACTACTGTATTATACTGGTCAAATGACAAAAGGAAGTAGAATATAAAGATGTTAAAATTGCATGATTGGATTGAAACTGATAAAGATGAAGATGAAGAAAATACCCATATATTTAAGATACTTGAAGTAATGCTACAGTATTTATTCACTGACCGTTTTAGTGATAAATTATGTAGAAATATACTAGTGATAAATTATGTAGAAAGCTTCAACATATGACAAGGATTAATCATAATCTTCTTAATAAAACTATCATAATTTATAACTCTTTTTCTATCATATAAAAATGGATATTACATGCTTTCATAATTATTCATTTAAAAGATTTTAGAGTATACTCATTCTATCAAAACACAGCAATACACTGCAATTCTATTATACAAAATTTAACCATTTTGAAATGATAATTTGCATTCCTATTGCATTTCCTTGTTTGAGTTTATAACTTCTGCAATAGAAGCTGATCCCTCATAGCTCTCAAGATTCAAATCAATTTCACTTTTAGACAACTTATCCCACTATAGTAGGGAAATCTGCAGATAAATGTTTTTTTTTTTTCATTTGTAACAATTCTGGAAATTCAAAAATTCCATATTTTCTAAAAGTATATAAAATTTACTTTTCATTTCAATTCAACAAACTACATTTACTAATAGTTTTAAAGCAATCAAAAACCAGATGTCAGTTCAAATTTTCATATTTTAACTATTTAAATTATATTTAATTATTTCAGTATTTATATCTTCAGATTATTTGAGTCTTCAACAGAATATCATAAAATAATTTTGTATGGTAAAAAATAGAAATCAGGGATAAATCTATTAAAAGTAATCGTTATTTACTTAAAGAGATGCATACTGAAATGATGCCTCTCAAAATACTTACCTAAAGTACATTTCTGCATTTAAATTAGAAATGCTATCATTAATTTAATAAAATTAATAAAAATATAGTTTACTTAAATTTGCACATATTTCTAAATTTTTTTCACATTCATGAAATAAACATTAACTGGAGATAAATTACAATCTTAATACTTGCATTGGTATTGGTAAATAAAATTTGGGCAGCATAGCAATCACTCAAGATCCTTAAAAGCAAAATAAAATTCTAATTTTATTATAAAGCATCAATCAAAAACCTAAATCTCCAAACACTGTTATTTTAGAAAACTGCTTTTTAATTTCATTAATATAATGCATAGCTTTATTTTCCAGAATGTACTTTTACAGAGGAGAAAATGTGTAAATACCATAGGAGGCATGGGCTGTGGTGCTCCATAATTTGCAGCAGGTACTGTGGGACTCCAATTAGCACCACCAGTCCGAGCAGATGTCTTAGGAGATCCCCACTGATGCCCACCAGGCCTATGGTTTCATAATAATATATTAAAATAAGAGCAAGTTCTTGGAAAAAAAAAAAAGTAGATTTAAAAAGGGAATGATTTTACTTATATAACAAGAAAAAAAATGTTAAAAATCTCTTGGTTAAAATATACTGGTGGACAAAATTAAGAGATGGAAAACCTTTTCCCACATTTTCCCTAAAATACTAGACAAACACTGGATAGTTGGTTGCCATGTCACTGCGGCACTGGTGTCGCTACGCCAGCAGGAGGTATAAAAGTCCGCGTAAAGCTGCTCAGCTCATTCTGCTTCGCAACATAATAGTGGTTTTTATTATCTTTCTTGTATAATCTTCCTGTTTTTAGGTGAAATGAGTACACATCATTGCTTAGACAAAGATATGAGACTGAGAATTGTAGGTAGGCTTGAGGCAGGACAGTCCCAAGTTCAGGCTGCAAGAGAACTGGATGTAATACCAAGTGTCATCTCTAATGTGTGGAATCAGTTTAAAAACAGCAAGACAGTGTCCAGAAGACTAGGACAAGGTTGCCCGAGAGCCACAACGACTAATGATGTATTTGGTACTTTCAGCCAAGTGCTAGAAGACGTCTACAACAACACAACTGTTTTGTGACCTAGTTATTGGCATAGGAACACCAGTTTGAAGGAATACAGTTGCCAAAAGGCTCTAAGATAGGACTATGCCAGAAGGCCCAGTATTTGCATCCCACTCACTCCCACAAAACAGAATTTTTAAATGGTGCATACAACATCAAAATTGGATACAGCTTCAGTGAGCTATGGTTATCTTCATGAATGAGTTCAGGTTTGGCCTACAGCCCGATTCTAGGCAATTATTTATATGGAGGGAACCTGAGACTCGATACCATCCCAGCAACATCATGGAAAGGGACCATTATGGTGGTGGGGAAGTGATGGTCTGGGTAGGGATCATGCAAAATACCCGCACACCACTCCATGTGTTTGACATTGGTTCCATGAATGCCCAAAGGTACAGGCAAGAGATCCTAGAGTCCTGTGTGCGAATTTTCAGGGGTGGTGTTGGCCATGAGTTCATTTTTATGGATGACATTGCATGACCACATAGGGCCCACCAATGAGTATTTGGAAAATGAGGATATTCACAAATTTCCTACCTTTAATACTATTAAACATGCTTGGGATGCTCTTGTAAGGACTATTGCAATATGCCAAATCTCACCCAGAACCAATCAGAAGTTAAAAACAGCTCTGGTGGAGGAGTAGGTGCGATTGCCACAGGTGTTCCTGAGCTCTCTTGTTAATAGCACAGTGCATGCTATGTGTCTGTCAGAGGTGACCACACACCATACTAGACACATTTTCACCATCTTTCAATCTCAAGTCTGGACAACATTGGGACTCTTGGCCAGAACTCATGCTTATAAATGGCATTTTCACTGTTGTTTTGCACACATTATTGTCATACAATAAACTATATTCATTCTTAATTTCATTTATTTCTATCCAGTATTTCTCAAGATATTTGGGAAAAAGTGTTAATTTAGTCCACCAGTGTACATGCAAAAAAAAAAAAAAAAAAAAAAAAAAAACAAAGGTTGTTGCTTTGCCTAATTTTGTGTTTCACTTTACCTTGCTACCCTTTTCTTTTGAAATAAAAATTTTAATTTACATACATAATTATAAAATAATACAGTTATTCATAATTCAATGAAATATTTAAAATTGTAAATTATGCAACTAATGTCAAATTTTATTATTTAAAACAGAAGTAAATTCACCAAACTTTTTTTAACCTATTTCACAAATGCTTAATTTGTTCTTCTTTGCTAATGAACACTTACATTAAAAAATTCTTCAGCTTAAAAATATTACAGCTATTCAGGACTACAACATTGAAAATATGACTGTGAAGGTACTAGAAATTAGTAAAAAGTGGCAACACAAAGAAAATACCCTAGATAAGCCTCCCTAAGAAAATGTCACAGAGGATACATCAGAAGAGATGCATGGATACTAGATTAACACAGTTTCTTGCCCTGTGCATCCTACCTAACTTAGCAACAAATTTTAATTCAAAACAAATGGTCTGGCAAATTTTGACTAAGATACTCTTGCCCCTTGCTTAGACAGTTGATCAACTTGTCAAAGCAAGTCAAGTCCAAGCAAGGTCAATGGTCCAATCAAGTCAAGTCTCGACAGGTTATTACACATAGACTGTCATATCAGCAAAGATGAACACACAAGCATTTGTGAAATATGGTAAGAATTACAAGTTTATTTCTGTTTCAGTATAAAAAAATATGGTATCAGTTGCATAATTTACCATGAATTTTAAAAATGTTTCATATGCACATGAGTAACCCTGCTATAATACATTAGAATTTTTTCCTAAACTAAGTCAAATAGTAATTTATTAATTACGATTATTAGTTACGAATTAGTAATTTTTTTCTAAACTAAGTCAAAAAGGTATTTGAAATATTAACCTTCCTGATCTGACTTACAATACTTGAATTACATTTCTGACCATCAAGTCCCAGTCAATAATATCATATCATATCTTGTTCTTGTTCCTAAATATCATTTGCTATATTTCTTGACAACAGTGAAGCTGAATTATTGACCTTATCTAATCTTTATCAGATCAGATTCAATTATTTATTTGATTATAACTATACTATTTGCCTAACTGAAGAGATGCCTTCATAGAGGACTTCAGGGAAAGTGGTTTGTATTCATGCTTAACATGGGCAAACTATAAAAACATCTACAACAGCTCATTCGCCAGGATTTAAACCAAGATCAAAACATCAATGTTAAGCAGTCTTACACACCTGCCCACTAGTGAGCCTAAACTCTGTACTTAATAAGAGTTAGGGTCTCCATTCAAGCTGCATTCTTCTGAACAGACATATTTGACATATTTTTTGATGAAATACGTCAAATTTATTCTAAACATCCTTTTTTCCTCAAATCATTCTGTGAAAAATTTTTAATGGATTTTTTTTTTAACATAAGCAAGTGAAACTGCTGATGACTGATATTGATCCACTTGGTCAATTTTTATTTACTTTTTTAATGCCCTCCTATTCCCCCCATGAATATGTTTCCTAAAGTAGCCATTTATCAAAATGTTGTACCACTGATAAGTCTTGGTCGTGGAAGCCATTGTAGAAAAGGCTCACACAATTTAGTACATACAAAGGGATACACCAGGCAGAAATATTTTTCTTCCATTTTTGGTGACTGTAGCGATAGTTGAAAGTTACAGACTCATCTAACTTTTCTCCAAGCCCCCAATAATTTACCTTATATTAATGCTTTTATTATTTTGTTCTCATTTTTGAACTGCACCTATATTTTAGTCCTTATTGTTTGTGAGTTAATATTCATTATTGCAAATTTTCCAATGCTCTTCTAGTTTAAGGGTTGGTGTTGGTGTATTTAATTATGGCAAAGCACACTAGGGCTATCTGCCTAAGGGGAGGGATGCCTTCGTGGAGGACTTTCTAAGGGAAACTGGCTCGTATACACGTCACACATGGGGAGAACCACGAAAACATCCATGCAGCCAGCCCGTTTGCGGGATTCGAACCTCGGACCGAACTACCAGTGTCCAGCGACTTTACCGCTCGGCCGCTGGTGGGCCTTCTAGTTTAAGGGATAAACAGACATTAAAATTTCAAACATTCCAAATAGTACTTTTCATCTACAAAATGAATTTTTATGTAAGTAATCATAGCATTTTTTACATTTTATTAAAGTATAAGCAATAAAATACAAAGTTTATAGAATTATACATGTATTAACAGTTGATTTCTCAATTAAAACCTTTCTAAGTGCCATGACCGTTTTTATCCAGTCATGAGATTTTTTATTACCTGGTCTATATTAGCTTATAATTTAAGATCTTTTGCTTTACCTTCTTACTTTAATAAAGAAAATGTCATTTTAATGAATGTAAGTTTATGAAATTAGAGACTAAAATATATAATCATACAAATTCAGATAATAAATGTTGTTTAAATATAGGTTTTCATCATAAATCAAAAAAACTGCACTGCTCAGAAGGTTAATTTATAAAGCAAAAGTAGCAAATATAATTGTTTATCCAACAATCTCCCCCTATGACAAACTTGAATAATTCCTTCTATCCATTTTTTTATGAAAAAGAAACTAGGTCTTATTTCTAGGTTGATAGACTATGTACTTACTCATGATAGACCTGTAACATTAACAAGTGACTATACATCTTAAAGTCAACATTTTTAGACTATTATAGTTTTAATAAATTTTTATCTGGTACTATGTATTTCTCAATCAGTATTTTATTTAAAAGGCAACATTTAATATACAACACATTTATTTAAAAACTTTCCCTTGTTTTCAATATGCAGGTGTTTTTCCCCTTTTTTTACAAATTATTTTGCTTTTTTAAAATAAATTAACAAAGAGAATATTAAAAAATATAAAATCTTAATATAGGTAAATAATTACAACTTGTGGTGTCTACAAATTTCTCAGTATTAGACAGGTAGAAAATCTAAGTGAATATTTTTCTTCCATTTTTGGTGACTGTAGCGATAGTTGAAAGTTACAGACTCATCTAACTTTTCTCCAAGCCCCTCAATAATTTACCTTATATTTAATTGCTTTTTATTATTTTGTTCTCATTTTTGAACTGCACCTATATTTTAGTCCTTATTGTTTGTGAATTTAATATTCATTATTGCAAATTTTCCTAATGCTCTTCTAGTTTAAGGGTTGGTGTTGGTGTATTTAATTATGGCAAAGCACACTAGGGCTATCTGCCTAAGGGGATTAAGGACCATTTTAAGTGATTTTCAAAGCCTTTTGAAGATGCACTGCAACTTAAGAAACTGTGACAAAAACCTATAATTATCATTATCTCAATTATTCTGTATATTGAAAGGTTCAAAGTGTCACTTTAAATCACACATAAAAATTGATATCTGAATGTGTGAATATTTGCTTTATATATATACACACACACATATCTACATGTATTTCTATAATGAATATGTAATTAATTACTTGACTGGTTTTTTTGGTCCATTGATGTCTAAATTCTGGACTAGAGTTTGTAAGCTAGAATCCAAATCTGATGATATGAGCTTGCCAGATGTTGGAGATGACTTAGATTCACACTCGTCAGGAACAGGAGTTGATGTTGGGCTAGTTGTAGACTTTGGTTGCAAAACCTCACCAAATGGATCAAAAGCTTAAAATAAATAAATAAATAAAAAGAAAATAAATAAAGCACAGTATCTTAAAACATACTTAATGCAATAATAGGGTCACTTTAGAAAAATACTGCTTTATGCAGCTCTCTGTAATTAAGTCCAATATCTAAAGTTGAATTCTGAAAAAATTTTTAACTTAAATTTTATTTTAGATTACCAATATACCTAGATTTTTGCCTTTCTGCAAATTTATTTATCATACTTGGTCAAAGATTCTGCAATACACCGAAAGTGAAGTTGTCTCAAATATCAACAGGAAATCACATTTCAAATAAAAGAATGAAATGTTCCGAGTAAAATAACAAGGATTTTGGATTATTCAGTTATGGCAAAGCACACGAGGGCTATCTGCCTAAGGGGAGGGATGCCTTTCGTGGAGGACTTTCTAAGGGAAACTGGCTCGTATACACGTTACACATGGGGAAAACCACGAAAACGCCCATGCAGCCAGCCCGTTCACGGGATTCGAACCTCAGACCGAACTACCAGTGTTCAGCGTCTTTACCGCTCGGCCGCTGGTGGGCCGTAAAATAACAAGATAAGTAATAAACAAAAATGATGTCACATAATAGAATAACAATGTTACCAAGGAATTAAATTTGATACAACTTTATATCTTATTTCAAGATAATTAAACTGAATCTATTGAAAATTATTTTAAATTTCAAAATACTAAAATAATTATGATCAAATAAAATTTAAAGGTATATGAAAATTTAGTTTTAATGTCTTAGTTATTATTCAAATTTTATTAATCTTATTGCTTATTTATATTCAGACATAATGATTGGTCATATGATAAACAAAAAAAGCGATCAACAGAATATGGGGCAAATTAGAAATAAAAGCTCATTGTAATATGACGTAGCAAAAAACAACATGCTACATTAAACCGTCCAAAACAAAACTTCCAAAGAAAGATACTTTTTCACAGAACCAAATTATTTTGCTAAAAAATAAAAATAAATAAATTAAAAAAAAAATTAACACTAACATGGCTCAGCATTGAGGCAACAAAATGAGTTAAAATTCATTATTCTTGGGGGCTTTTCCTTTATTACATTCCTACATTTAGTGGAAACATTAGAACATAGAAAATTTAAAATATTTTATTGTTTTTAATTACTCTGTTATAAACTTAAGAAGTGGCCAGTTTGCATCATGAGTTTCCAAACTTCTGGAAATGCTGGACTGCACAAATGATATCTTTATATCAGAATATGGATCAAAGAAAATATAACAAGAACTGTACTGCCTGGACATAACATTATGAATGCAAATAGTAAACCTATTTTTTTTTTAAATACCAATTCATTTACACCTAATTTGACATATATGATAGCAAAGTGTTTATTTTACATGAACTGCACCCCCCCCCTCCATGCTGAAAACAATTGCTTCCAAAAAAATTTTCAAACAAGGAATGCTATGAAGTGTTGGAAGTTTTTCTGTACATAGGTATAATTTATGAAAGTTCATGTAAATTTCTTTTATATTGTACAATCAGTCTATACAATCTATTTGCAGGTTAGGCCCACCAGCGGCCGAGCGGTAAAGTCACTGAACACTGGTAGTTCGGTCCGAGGTTCGAATCCCACGAACGGGCTGGCTGCATGGGCGTTTTCGTGGTTTTCTTCATGTGTACCATATATACGAGTCAGTTTCCCTTAGAAAGTCCTCCATGAAGGCATCCCTCCCCTTAGGCAGATAGCCCTAGTGTGCTTTGCCATAATTAAATAAATCAAACCAAACCTATCTGCAGGTTAACAAACAAGTTTGTGTCAATTGAGACTGAGATAGGTAAGACAAAGAAATGTAGTTTTTTTAAAATGCTGAAATTCTTAGGCTTTTAGAAATTAATTAATGTTTTATTACTGTCAACTGTTTACAGGAAATATCTACAGTAAATCTGTATGATAGGTTGGTTTTCTGAATAGGACAAAATACATGAATGCTATCTGATGAAGGGGAAAGATCCATTTGCAGAGGTTTTCCAAGGGAAACTAGTTTATATTCTCATTACATATACAGAAAACCATGAAAACCAACTACACAGACAGGCTGTTCACCTGGGTTTGAAATACCAGCATTCAGCTGTCTTAACCACTCAGCTATTGATGGGTACAAAATTGATCTGTAAAAAATTATCGCACTTATTATAGATATCATTAGATATTTGAAAGGGGATGTCTTCTTATTGACAGGTTATTATTCAGGTTATTCTTATTATTCCGGCATCTTATTGAATAGTTGATATATTAGCAAATTTTTAAATAAAAAGCTGGATGCAACATAATCTATATTTTTCATTCTGTTGTCTTTGCTCAACAATATTTATACTTCACAACGTAATTTTTGAAATATCACAACTCAAAGAGGTAGAAACATGTTCTATGGCAGAGGTATATACTTTCTATTATATCCAGTGTTCTCAACTTAGGTTGACCTTTAATATAGACATGCCGTGCTGTGTAGAAACTTCGCAACAGATTTGGAGTGTTCTGGAAGATCTTGCAGAGAGAATGCAAGCAAACTTTCCTGGCTACATTCAGTCAGTTTATAATTTAAGTCTAGTAAAATTAAACTCATCACTTCATATAAATAAATGGTAATATAAATTAGCTCATGTATTATGCATATAATATGTTCATGTATTAGTTCATGCATTATATAATTTGTTGTCTTTGATAAATAACCATGTGATTTTTTTGCTGCATTATCTTTGATGATGAACTGATTTAGGAACTGTAATAAATGTAATAGTACATATAAAAAGTAGTCTTCAACCAGAGGCAAGACTGCCAAATGAAAATATCCTAAATATGATGATGATGGTTATTTAGAGTTCAGTTCTATGTCAACAGAAATGAATGAAGAAAGACTACAATGTGTGTTGTGTATGAAAATTTTGGCCGCAGAATGGCGGAATGTATGCTTCCAAGATAATGAAAGTGCCATTTAAAAGCTAATCACCACAGTATGGTTGCTAAAACTTGAGGATTTTTTGCCAGAAGTTAAAAGAACTGAAACAAAAACATTGATTTGAACTGCAGGAATGCACACTTTGCTAGCATCTGACAAGGTGGCTTACAGAATCATGAAATGTAAGAAGCCTCATACCAATGCAGAAGAACTTATTCTACTGGCTACTGTAGATATGGTGAACATTACGATTGGTGATTCAGTTGGTAAGCTGCTTTTAAAAATACATTTCTCCAGTAACACAATAGAATAGCCACATAGTTGAAGAATACAACATATGGGAAAGGATATCAATGATAAATTAATTGAAAAAATTAAAGGAGTGGAATTTGAATTGCAAATAGATGAAGCTACAGATAATAATATGGATGCTCATTTGATAAACGATGGATGGTAATAATATTAAAAAAGACCTGTTTTGTAAAAATATTACTGTAGAAAAAAAGGCTCAGGACCTGCTTCAGATTCTTCACATGCTTGTATCTGAAAATACTTTGTATTGGCCTAAATATGCTCATATTGGTACTCATGGAGCTCACTCCATGTCTGGTTGTTATGAAGGATTATAGACACTTATTCGAAGCAAATTATCAAATATCCATGGCATTGTTCACAGAGACGTGCTTGCATCAAAGCATTAAAGTCCTGCACTGAATCAAGCCTTGGAAGGTAATGTTTTATCACATATCTTTAAATTACGTCCAGAAATATTTTAGTTTCCTTAAAGAAGAAGGATACAAAGATGCAGAAGATTTTGCTGATGCTGATATTTTAATAAATCTGGCATATTTATGTGCATTTCTAATAAAGTGAATTCTCTTAATCTCTCTCTGCAGGGAAAAACATGCATCTTTTGATGTCAATGGGAAAAAAATATCAGCTTTTATTATAAAAAAAAAAAAAAAAAAAAAAAAAACCTCAAACTATGTAGAAGAAAACTGAATGAAAATGCAGGCAAAGATTATTTTTTAATATTGCAGCAAATCTTGACTTGAAATTAACTTGATCATTCTGAAGAAATAAAACCCATATCTGAAAGGCACTTATTACAGTTAATTATCTGGTTTGAGAAATACTTAATGAAAATTTCAATAGGTTTACATGGATTCAAGATCTTTTTAACACTATTTCTCCATGTGAATTTATTTTTGCAGAAGACAATCTTACTGAGTTATCTTGCGACAACAGTTTGAAAGCAAAATTTGGTAGTATGGAATTGCCAGAATTTTGGATTAAAAAAAAAAGATTAATATCCCCTTCTAATTGATAAGGCTCAGGGGATTTTAATTCCATTTTAGACATCATATTTGAGCAGAGCCTGATTTTTGGCAGTCGCTATAGTAAAAAGCAACTATAAAACACAAATTAACATGGAAAAGGAAATGAGGATGGGTGTGTCAAATTTTTCTCCACAATTTAAGAAAATGTGCAGTGTTAGGCTTATCTATCATACTGATCATTAATTTAATGTTAATAAAGTAAAAACAATATGTTAAATAATGAAGGTATGCAAGTTTCTTTTTTTTTTTTTCTTTTTTTAATCTCTTGCATATGATTAATCATACTTTCACTTAGGTGGGGATTCGCAGAAACATTTTAGTTGGTGCTGCAATTCGGAATTTAAAATTGATCACAGTGTTTGAAAATTACCAAAGCAGATATTGATTTACAAAGATGTAAAATTTACAGCAAGAAAAATTCACACTTTTCCTAAAAAAATGCTGAAACAGAAAACAGATAACATTTCTAAATTTTTATAGAACCACTTTCTCTTAATATATTCCTTGAAGGTAAAGAGGTATTAAAACCAGCACTACAATTATTTGCTTTAAAGACACAATTTTTTGCCTGGTTATAACATTGTTGCAATATATAATTCAAATGCAGGAAAAAAAAAAACTCATTAAAATATTAGTTGGGCATAATTATCTATAGTATTTTAATCTCCTCTTAATTTTGATTTAAAAAATCAGCCAAATATTCATGTAGACACAGACAGATTTTATTCCCATCTAAGAGCTATATATGTATAGCGATAGATACAATTCTTTTAAAATAGAATCTAACTTACGAACTCCAGAATCTACAGGTGCAACAGCAGGAAAAGCTGTAGCGAAAGTAGGCTCAGCACAAAATTCAGCAGGTACAGCTTTGACACCTGAATTAAAATTTAAATAATTCAAGCATAAAAATCATATAAAAACTTGCTTGGAGAACTGAGCACATATGATTTTAAAACAAAAATGTAAAGCTATTCATTAAAACAGCATAAAATGAATCATAAGCTTTTAAAACATTTTACTGGTAAAAAGTAGAGAAGTGATTTTAAATAAACAAGACTCAACATTTTTTTTTTTTTTTTTTAAAAAAAGCTTGGCTGTGTTATTTAATTTGCATGTCTTCCAACATAACACTGCACACAGAGTATTAAAATATGTTTTAATACATGCTGTCTAATTACACAGTATTTTTGACCCTGACTTTGCAATATGATTAATTAAATTATCAAAGTTCATAACATTCAGGTCATGAGATTGATTTTTTTAAAGTTTTAAAAAAGTAAGAAAATATGAAGATCAACAAGGTAATCAGTATGAAATGGAAAAATAGCTCATGAGAATAAAAACATAATCGAGCTGCTTTGTGAATTAATTATAAAAATAATAACTACCATTTAATGATCACAAACGGTAATTATCCTATACTAACGGAAAAGTACTCACTTTGGATATGAAGCTTCAGCCCAAATGAAATTAAATTTTGATGAAATAATATTCTCACAGTTTAAGAAAATACTCTATTATAATCTTGTAATCATGCATTTAATGGCAATATTTTCTTCCTTTTTAAAACTTGTAAAATAAGATGTGTCCTTGTACCAGCATTTAACCTATAATTTTAAACTGATGACCTTCAGAAATGAAAACATCTTAAAAATGAGCATGGCAGCTGCAAAACATTTTTCATGCTTTGATAAAAATTCACAGAAAGTGAGCAACTACTAAATAAGTACATTTTAATGGTTTTTTTCCTCTATCTTACATTTTCTCATTAACACTTCCCTTTTCATTGATACTTCTCTCATATGCTTCATGACCTCAAAGGAAATGATTGATCATATAGTGAAACTTGTAATGAATACCCTTCCAAGAACTCCATATTAGGTAGTTTATACATGTTTTTGACTATGACAACTTCTACTGCTCAACTGCAAAAACATGCTTTTATTTTAAATGATAGCCAGATACTGAGATCCTATTACTACACATTTCAGAAAGGTATTACCAACATCATTTCTCTAATACAATTTGCAGCTGTTAAGAGACAATGCATCTACAGTTTTCGTCTATTGCAATTTAAAAGCTCGTTAAAAAAGCCTACTTTTCAGAATTCACAGACACGTTCTTGAATCAAAGCTTACACTTTCTCGATGCAATCGTAACTGAAAGGTTCTCCTGTCACAAAGGGTAAAATAATGATTTGGGGCTTACTTCAGAAGATAATTCTACTCAACTGAAATATTACCACTATAACATAACACATGGCTTAAAGAATCTCATCCTATAAACTAGATGCACCATCTGTAAACTGATAATAAAAATTCCAGGGATTCTTATACTCTTAAAGAAAACTGTTCTTTTTTAACATTTTTTGCAAACTGAATGCTTGCTCCACTATTTTGCATTTTCTAATCACATAATGTGAAATAATTTGATTTTCATTGTAGTAAACATTCATACATTAATACCAACAACAATCATCTTAATATATTACACTTAAAAATTATATTTAGTAACCAAAAGACAAATGGAAGCTGAAATGTAAGACACTGAGTTACTTTCATTATATTTGATTCGAGATGCTCTGCTGAAAATATATTCTTACTTTTCTCTTTAAATGATCTATATTGTATTCATAATTTTTTAAAACGAATTTACAGTACCACTTTTAAAAACATATAATTTGAGTTTAATATTACAATATTTTATTTCTTCTTATTATTAATTTCTTATTAACATTAATCTTATTTTATTCTTATTATAATGGCTGTTTAATTTAATTGCATATAATATTTCCTTTAAATAGGGAGTCTTTTAAACCAAAATCATATGAGAGATTTTTCATAATAATCCCTCTAAAGAATGTTTGGTCATGTGACAACACAGCATACATAAAAATGTGAGCAATAATTCATAATGAAATCTTGAGTTTTTCCTATACCTAAAAGTTTCTCATTGAAAATAAAACATTTATTTAAATTAAAAAATATATTACATCTTGCACATTATTCAGCTATCCATAGACTTAAAGTCACTGAAATGAAGCATTTTGTTTTCCTACATTACAACAAATAATCTCATTATACAAATAAGGAATTTCTAAGAAGCAATTCTTGAATTTCATAAACACATTTAAGTGTTACATAAGATACATTCTAATAATGATTCTATGCAATATATTTGAAATACACTTAACTGCAATTACATCTAGAAGCAAACTAAAAGAATAATACTTTCAACACATAACATCTAAAAGAAGTAAACAAAAAGGATAATACATTTTGACATATAACACAGAATTAAAATTATCATTTTCTGATTACACTCTGATTTAATTGTGTGTCTATAAGTTTCCAAATTTTGAAATCATCCTATTAACAAAAATGACTCAAACTACTTTGGGTCATTATGCAGCAACATGCATGAGATTATTTTATGAACCAAACATCTGAGTATAGATATATTTTAAAAATTTGATTTCTCCACTTGAAAGTAGGAAATTATTACAAAAGTGAACAGATTTTGATTAATTTATTGTATATACTTCTAGGGAAGGGATACAGTGTAACATTATATGATATGCACTGCGCTTTTAAGCCATGCAAATCTTCATTAAATTACTTTACCAGCTTTTATTTTTACACTTTAAAATCAATACAGAAAAAGGACAAATGCCTTTAGTCTGAAAACTTCGAAATCAGCATTTTCAGAGATTAAAATTGCAATATTCAAAATAAATGTTTATCCTTGAACTCACTGAAAGCTAAGGACTTAATTTTAATAGTTTATTACCATGAAATCTAATAAGCCATTAAAATGGCAATATTATTTTATATATATAAACATAAAATAACCCACATACCTTCTACACCCATACTTGCAAAAGGCACCTGGTGAAAAGCAACTTGACTACTACTCACAAAATTATCAGCTGCAGAAGTGTTCAGAGACATGAGATCAGCTGCATTAGATGATGCAGACTGTTTTACATTCTCTGTCGTACCAACAGTATCTTTTGCCTTAGTTGGTGGACTCAGTGTCACAGGAACTGATACAGAAGGTTTAGGTATTGGACTGGGAACTTTTGATCCTGCGGCCTCGGCTGCTTGCCTTGATGCTAGCTCTCTTAATCTCTGTTCCTGAATATTATAAATAATGCAACTGTAATTATATTACACTAAGATTTTAAACCATTTGTAAAACATTACCCTCCTTTAACAAAACAAAAAATATCTTGATATTGATGAAATACATAAAAACTGACTACATAAAAAGAATATAAATCATTTAAATTTAACCAACAATAATTAAATTTCTGAATTTGAAAAAAAAAATTATTAAATAAGCATTTTGTTTCTACTTAAAAAATAATCTCATTACAAATAACGAATTCTAAGAAGAATTTTGAATTAATAAACAATTAAGTGTTAATAAAATACATTCTAATAATGATTCTTGCAATATATTTGAAAACACTAACTGCAATTAAAATTTTTATAATGCTATAATTCTGATTTTTAACTTGGAAATTATGAACATTAATAACTTTGATATCTTGATATTGTAAATGAACAAGGTAACTGATTTTAAGATGAAAAAAATCCAAACTCGGTAATTTTTACTGTTGCATAAGTCTCCAGCAACTTTTATTTTTGTAATTTTTTGCAAAAAATAAACTTTTTAATCATCTAAAAAATAAATAAATAAAGCTGAATTCACTCATCTGAAAAGAACACACACACATATTAGCAGAATTTAAGAATTCATTGGTGTTTCTAATAATTTACTCACAAGCTACTCTATCACTTTGCAAGTTTATACAGATACTTCAGAGCATTCCTTAAGTTAATTATCTTAATTTTATTATTATGAATGTAATATTATAGTCTCCTTTCAATTGAAGTCTACAGCAGCAAAATTAGAAGTTACAAATTTCAATGCATTTGAAAAATTGACAAAAAAGAATACATGAATCTATTTTTAAAGTTCTGCATACATTTTCAAATGGATATACCTCAGAATATATAATAAACAATATACAATAACTAATTTTTTAACTCTCACATCATGAAGAAATACATCTGTTGCCCAGACATGCCATAACTTTACTCAGTTCTTCTTTCACTCTCATTGGTTTATTGATATTGAAACCTCGTTTGTTATTTAAGCAACACTAATTTATCCTCTATCTTACTCAGCAGCACCAAACTGACATCTGGGAAGTTGCATACAAACAAAAAGTTGTTTTTTCAATTTAGATATGTTTCTGCTTGGCTCTGCTGGCTTATGAACTGTGTACTAGGAAAACTGCAATATGAAATCAGGAAAGTTTTAAGTCTCTGTAGTGGTAAAATTCTGAAACTTGGGGGGGGGGGAAACCTATTTGATCATGTGACTAAATCATCAAAACTAACATCAAAGATGAAACTTCTTTTTTGGCTCTTATGTTAAAACTCAGCAAATCTGGTCATATGCAATTTTTTTATCAACTACCTTATAATTTATAGATCTTGCATGTTAAATTTAAAATTAAAGGAAAAAATCAGATGCTGTACTTGCAAACTGATGGGAAAAAACTGAGAAAGATATTTAACCACTTGCGTTAGAAAGACGTGCCACGCACGTCAAGATGCTTTTTGTCTCAAACCATGTGCAAAAATGAAAATAACGTGGTGCACACGTCGCCTAACTATGATATTGTTTATTTCTCGAGTTACTGCTCTGGATTGCACTCGCAGACGCAGCGTGGCATAAATGAGACACTTTACAACTTGTTATATTGTAGCGCACAGCACCACAACCGTGAAGTTTAGTCGTAGCGCAAGTGGTTAATATAAAGCCACTGCAGCAATAAAAAGTTAACTAGGTGTGAATTTCTTTTACAAGGTAACATGAAAATACCTGGTTCCTCCAATAAGTAAAAGTTCTTAATAGTAATACTGAAAGCGATCCTTCCTCAGCTGATTATACGATGAAATATTTTTTAAAAAATATATATATTTTGGACAAATTTAACTCAGGAGAGGGGAAGAAAAAAAGCAACTGATAAAGAACAACACACTAAAGTAAAAATTGCCAATCAATAACTGCTTTCTAAACTAATAGTTTTGTTCAGAATCTACACCAACCTTGTAGAAACATTAGATTATTTTTAGGAAGCAGGCAAGATGAAAAATTAGCAACACCTTCACTGGGAATCGAACCACGGACCTCTCAATTACGCACTGAGCATGCAGATCACTACACCACGAAGGCTCTTTAAGAAGGCGGGAGAAATATCTTATATACTTCCCCTTTTAAAGGGGGACTGGGGTTTTTAGGAGACTCAATCGCCAAATCCTGGGTGAGGAGAATCATCAACCAACACCTTTCTAGTTAAGGTGCTACTGTAGAGACATTAGGTTATTTTTAGGAAGCAGGCACGAAGAAAAATTAGCAATGCCTTTGCCGGGAATCAAACCGTGGTCCTCTCAATTATGCGTTGAGCGTGCAGACCACTACACCATGAAGGCATGAGAAATACCTTATAACCTAAGGTCTTTTTATAACAAAAGATTTGCCAAAGTTAAACTACTACACAAAATATAAAATAAACAAGTATATACTATAATAAAATGCATATTAATTATCAAAAACTAGCATAGAATTTGAATTCTGATCTTCTGTCTGCCATTCTTTTTGTATTTTTCACATAATTTTGCACTTTCAGAAGTTTACAATATAAATCATAAATGCATATTTTGTTCACATGAAAATATATGTGAAATTGTATTCCGATTTATTATTTTCCTAAATAATACTTATGAACAGCATAAACAAAGTGGAAAAATAACTACAATTCATGGCTAGCAGGACAGTTTTCACTACAGCAACAGAACCTAAATTTGCCCTTGGTCCCATTGCTAATTTATTGTATATGTGTATGTATTATATATATCACTTAGTAACATTAGAAACACGGTTGAAAAAAATTATAAGTGCAGAGATTAGGTTTAAACCCTTAAGGACTAGTGCCGGGAAAACAATGCACAGTCATGGGACTGGACCCGCTGAAATGGATCGTCGCCACTGGCCCATGCATTTTCAGCAGTTAAGCCTAATTTTACAAAAAAAAAAAAAAAAAAAAAAAAAAGTATAAAATCAGCATTTTGATATTATGATTTTATTAATCTTTTGAAATTGCATATTTAATGTACTTGTTTTTAATGTGTATTAATATAAAGAATACCACATTAATAGAAATAAATTAAACATGCAAAATACTAAAATCATAACTATACACACAGAAATAAATGCTATAAACATGAAAAAAAAAATTTACAAATATGAAAAAATAAATAAATAAACAAGAATTATCTGTAGTCCAATTTAAAAATTCTGTTGTGTGTGAAATAATCCAAAACAAGGATCAACACACAGTCTTATTGCATATTTCAAACTCAAAATACATTGTTTGCTTTCGCTTTTAGCTCACGCAATGCATCTTCTATCTTTATTACCTTTTCTGTCAACGCAAATTTTCAGAAACTGTCTTCTAGTTAGACAGAATGGTGGGAGTGTCCGGTGATTTGGGACAAATTTTTAAGTTTTTAAGTAAGGTTTCTTAGCCATGGCTAATGGAATGAAACTGAATATAACCCCAACACATGTCCCAAAACTTCTTCAAACGACACTCAGAAATATTTCATCCTAAAACCCTGTGTGACATAAGATTTAGGTTAAAAAACTTCCTGTTTTCCTAAATCAAAAACAGCGTCCATGATGACGGGAAAGTGATCAAGAAGAAAGAGACCCCCCCCCCCACATATTCGAGATATCCGATGATCACGGCAATATATACATTATATATAATTGCATTATATGTAAATACATTACATACCAAAATATAATGACTGTGTCATTATATATAATGACCATTCAAGGCATTATATATAATGACCTATTAAATCGAAGTAAGAAAAATGCTTGCTCTTAAGATGTGTTGTCCGAGAAAGCTGATAGTCTTTCCCCTTCTGTAATAATATTGTAATCTCATTTTTTAATTAACCAAGAAGCTTACATTAAGTTTCAAATAAATAGATGGCAGTATGGGTTCCATGAATTTTGAATTTCTTTTCATAATGAAGCGGGCGGGAATTTTTTTTTTTTACCTTGTTCTTTTTATGCGTACATTTTGGACGCGTTTTTTAGAGTGTTTGTAAACTAAAATGGCTCAAAAGAGAAAGTTTTAGATAAATATGATGATGCGATTATGATTGTGATACAGAAAGCTTATCAAGTTTTGTTTGTTCACAGTATATCAAGCTCAGAAGGCGATTCAAGCGATGAGGAAGATTTTTCGAGTGTTCGACAGTGGTGTAAAATTGATTCAAGTTCTCACGCTCCTAGCCGATTTAGTTTTACTGGTTACTTTAGTTTACGATTTAAAGTAATATCACACACAAAAAGATTTACTGTATTTTAAATGCTTTAAAATTTTACATTAGTTGTATTTATTCAGTCCTTTCAATTTAATATTTGTCTTATATTTATAATGAACTATTATTTACATAATTGATTATAATCATTTATAATTTACTGTTTAATAATTATCATTTATTAATTATAAAATATGTAAAAACTTATTTATGTACTACAAATACTTTAAGAAATTTTTAAAACGCGTGAGGCGAGCTATCTATGGCATCGCCAGAGAAGGGTGATATTTTCGGAAGAACGGCAGGGGAAAACAGCTGCCACTTTCGAATACTGTTTACTCGCAATGTTGCGCAAATTAATTAAATAAAAATTGCTCATTTCCCTAACCATCAAAGGGTTAAATAAAATTAAAACTTTATACTAATATATCATAATATATTGCAATTAAACTTTACTTAAATGAGCACTTCCCATTACCAGAGATTTGCATAAGGAGCCAAATGAAATGTAAAAAAAAATTGACGGCATCGCAGAACAACTGATGTGGAGACGTGCAAGATACTGTCTGCATCTTGGATAGAAGCTTCGAACAGCACCGTCAAATGCAACTCTGAGGAGCTTCAGCAATTGCCTGTAGAGCCTCCAATAAAAGAGCTATCTCTTGCCAAGATTATGGGAATAGAAGTGGATATAGCTATATTATCAATGAGCTAGTGGTAGAGCATAGAGAGGCACTGACCACAGAATAGCTTATGGAGTTGCATTCTGTATCACAGCAATTTATTTATTAAGTTGTGGAGGAGGAGGAGGAGATCAACCTTGGCAAAGCAACAGCCATTTAGTGAAAATAAGGGAGATGCTGAAAGCATGGGAAACTGTTGCACCATACACTAAGATGCATCAACCTAATACGGCAGTAGCCATGTGTGCTACAAATTTATTTAACAATAATACTGGCTGATTTTTGCCAAACTTTGAAGCGTGAGTGAAAACATGTCTTCAAACACCATTTGAAAAACAGGATATATTAAAAATAATAAATTGCATTATTATAAATTTGAGTATCTTTTAACATATTATCCTATTTTACATGGATTTCTATGGAAAAAATTATTTTGCTTAATGAGTGTTACGCATTACAAGCAAGATTCAGGATCAAATTATGCTCATTAAGCGAGGTTCCACTGTACTTATGCCCATGTCCCTGATGAAAAATATTATAGATTATGTTGTACAGTAAACACTTGTACAGGTTTAAAAATTGCAATGGAACTGGATATATTTACAGGTTTAAATGAATCAATCACTTTGTCAAAAGAAGGTACCCATTCAAGAACTTTGTAGGCTGTTCTTTTGACAATTTTTTAAGTATGCTTAAAGTTAAACTAAAGAAATCTTTAAACTATCTTTTAAGTTAAAGAAAGAAAATTAAAATATTCTAAAATGAAGTTTTAACACACATGCTCAATTATAGCTAGAATTACTTCAAAATTAAAAAAAAAAAAAAAAAAAAAAAATAACAGCAAAGCATAATTTAAAAAATAATAATGACAAATCATTCCTAAAACCTGAAAGTAGTTCATGCTTCATAGACAGTCAGCTATCTAAAAATACTATGAAAAAAATCTCAATCACACCATTGCAACAGTAACTGTAACTCAATCACACCATTGCACATTTATACAAAAATACAGGATATTGCTAGCAACAGAAGAAGTTAAACCAAGTTTAGGACCATTTCTTTAATCAAAGTAAATCATGCAAAAGGCAAAAAAAAAAAAAAAAAAAAAAAAAAAAAAAAAATACAAAATTTTAAAAATAAAGTAGGTATTTTGATTTCCTTAACATGACATTTCATTGCTAGTATGCGATATGAAAGGTGTTAACACATTTTTAGAACAATTTTGGGCCATTTTAATTAATGTTTTAAATATAAATACTTATAATTTAAATGTTTGATAACTGTTTTTCCAGGATTGAGTCTGCATTGTGCTATTTATAAAATTTTGAAGGGTATTACTTGCTATTCCTCAATTGCCTTCTAGAATAAATCATTCACAATAGGTTTATCCTTAGAATAAACTCTTTTAAGCAAGTTAAATGTTAAGGGACTTGGAAAAAAGTTGAAAATATACGCATGCAATACCTGTAGTACACTTCGTTTTTTTTTCACACAATGCAGTTTTATTCTTTAAATTCACTCGGCACAGAAATGGAATAGTGTTTTGTAAATATCAGACATAAAATATTTTCCTGACAGTATGATAAATTACTTTTATAATTTTCCTCATCTTTTATTATATTTATTTTCCAAATATAGAAGAAACTTCAGAACTCTCAAAACTTTCTTTGCATTACCTGAAGTTTTAAATATCTTGTTCTTGTTTTTGATAGTAAATAGATATTTTTTCTTGCTGCACTTGCTTAAATAAACGCAAGTTTCATTAAAGACAGCAATATATTTCTACTTATCTCCAGCTAAATTGTATTTACATAGATCTCAATAACATTTTCTATTTCAACCCCATTTCTTAACATGAAAGCTAATAAATATTCTGTATTTTTGGCTTTTTTAGGTTGTAAAATTTTGTCTATTATGATATTTATTGTTGCTAGAGCTAGAAACCACATCTACATTAATGGTTTTTCTTTTGTTATTACAGATTTAAGAAACAATAGAAAAAATGTCTATCTTTTTTGAGTAATTATTTGGAGATTTACTATGTATCAGTAATGACTTATTATGTATAAATAATGACGGTTTGTTTTCGAAGAGATATACAATAAATACATTTATTTTTCACTTAGAATTTTGAACACCACACATTTCACAACATTTTTTAAGAATATGGAAAGCAAAACACAGCTTTTGATCCACAACGTATTTAGATGGGGACCGAAATGCAATGTCGCTTTCTTACATTAAATTCAAACAAATACATTTTTAACAAGTTTTTATTTTTAATCAATAATATAATCACCCTCGTTACCAACAACTTTTGCCATCTAATGTGCAGATTTTCAATCCCGGACTGATAAAAATCAATTGGTTTTTGAGTAAAATAGCTCTAGAGGACATTTTGGACATCATCCAAATTTTCAAATTTTTTGCTACTAAGAAAATATTGTAGGGATCTGAATAAATGGAAATCCAATGCTGCGATATCGGCCGAGCATGATGGGTGAGTATGGCAATACCTCCCACCCCAATTCATTAATTTTTTTCCAGTGTTCATCTTACACAGTGCAATCTTGCATTGTCGTGTTGCAGAATGACGCCTTTTATGTTGACAATTGATATTTTTCGATTAAAGATTGGTTCACTTCATCCAATTGTTCACAATAAAGGTCTGCATTAACAATTTGTCAAGGTTTCAGTAATTCAAAATTAACAATTCCGCGACTACTCCATCAAACACCGCGCCTTTTCGGGATGTAAACCCTTTGTAACCCCTATTAAAACTGCCTTTTGAGTTTTGGATTATCATATAGGACTTATTTTTTGTCTTCACTAATCAAGCGATCAAAAAACGATTCTGTAGGGTGCCGTTGAAGCAATACGTTGCATGTGATGGATAGGTTGGCTTTGTTCTTTTCAGACAGATTATGGGGGACTCAAACACCTGTTTTGCTTATTTTTCCATTCTGCTTTAAATGTTCTTGGATGGTCGACCAAGGTTGGTTAAGAGAGTCTGACATGGATTTGCTTCCACTTCTGCCCTTAGCATGTTATTGTCGACATGCGCAGAAACAACATTACTTTCCAGTTTAACAATTTAGAGAAAGAGGTAAGGGGGAAAAAATATACATATTTCTAAAACTAAGTTTTATGCACATTATGCAGAAAATTCGGTAAACATGCCTCAAATAAATCTGACATCTTTTAGAGTATGTTATTACACTATAAAACAAGTTTGTGGTGTTTGAGTACAAAGCAAATATTTCAGAATGTATGGATTTTAGAAAATGGATATATCAAACATTCAGATGTTATTGCTAATGTGTCCTTTTTGAGTTAACCTGACTTCTAATGTGCAGATTAAGTAGTACTGTTCGCTTTCAAAACAGCAGAGATGCTACCTGTCAGTTCTTACGCAGACAGAAAATTTACAATTGAATGAATGTTATTTTTTGATATTATACAGAATTCTAAACATGAAATCCCTTGACAAGTAGTTCATATGCTTGATATTTGTATACCCATTCACTATCACAAAATTTAAAAAAAAAAAAAAAAAAAAAAAAAAAAAAATTGGCAGATAGAACAGTTTATTAATATTTTAAACCAGTCTGCCAAGACCATTGCAACACATAACACAAAACTCGTTCAATATGCTGTAATGGCCTTTGAACCTCTGAAAAAATTTCAATATTTTACTCTTTACATTAGTATTTTAAAATATGAGAAAGGATTTAAAATTTAAAAAAAAGTCCTTATACAAAATCAGAATATGTGCAATTATTATAATGGTTGACAATCAGAAAGCATTATATAATAATGAAATAATTAAGAATAATAAGCATAACTAAATATTTGCAACAAGAACTTTATGTTATCAAATTTTGAAAATTACAGCAAAAATAAAAAAATTCTTTAAAATATAAAAATTAAATACTAACCATTACTTTCTCCAACTCAAGTGATAAAGAAATCAATTCCTCACGAGACTATAGTAGAAAGAGAAGCAGTTGTGTTTATAGTTCTACAAAGCAAGCAGGAAAAGCAAAAAGAACCCCAAATGTTTGAAAAGTCATGCTAAAAAAAACTTAGCCACATGCAATAAATACTACTACTACTACAAAAAAAAAAAAATATACATGCAAGGGTTAATTCAAACTGCATGAAAGAATTACAATAAAAATTGTCCAGAAAGAAATTTATAAAGAAAGTTAACATGCATAGCTAAATGCAGCATTCTTTATATATATATATTATATATATATTTTTTTTCAAAATTATCTATTAAATACAAACTAAAGAAAATTCCTTCAAAATTATACCATTCATATATAGTTTAATTCACTTAAAATGCAACCATGCCATCTACTTATTATAAAAGGCAATATTTCAGCAAAAAGATATACTTTAAACAAAACAGACAAAATTCTAAGTTCTTCCAGGACTTTCTTTATAGACACTTGCTTATGGAGTTATATCTCATATTCTATCTAAATATCATAGCACCTGAAGATCTAACAACACTCTTCATTATCATAATTTTATATATGATCTATATTTTTCTTAAATGGTAAAGAATATCCCTCAGTAAAAACTTAATATTTAACACATTAAGCTATGTAGTTCATATTCTGATTAAATCATATTCTTTAGAAGTTAGTACTCAAACTTTTGTGCAATTAAGTGCAAAATCTTTGTGAAACTTTTATAAGTATGCTATTTTTCATACTCCCTTTTTTTAATAATAGTATGGAATTAGTGAACATAATTTTTTAGTTTAAACAACCTTTAGTTGATTCATAATAGCAGCTTCTTCTTCAACAGCTCGTCTCATGCTTTCATCTACTGTTAATCCATTTATCTCATGTGCACTTGCAATACTATTTGTGAAGGCAGAACCAGTAGAATTTAGAGCTGATACAGCTGTTTGAATAGAATTAGACCTGAAACAAAGTATTTCAAAATTAAATACAATAATTATACAATACTCTAAAAAGTTTCAAATCATATAAAGAAGCATTATCATAAAGAAAATACATTTAAAATCTGAATGAAGTTAAAATTAATTCAACTCAAAAACATGCATAATAAGAATTACTAGCACTTTAATACCAGAGATAGCTCATTTTGTAAAGTTTTCTTCAGAAAAACTTCCAAAGTTACTTAAAAAAAAGATCACAGCTTCGAACCAAAAAAAAAATACAAATGTTAGACTGACTATACTTTGACTCATCAGAACAAGATAAAATCCATATCTCAAATAGAGAAAGTACTGAACTGTCCCTTATCACCAGTGAGAAAGGTATCAGTAACACTCAACACAATCTCCATCTCTTTATTATCTCAGCGCCAATAACAGAACTCCTTACTGAGTAAACTTGAATGATGGTCGAAGGGTGAGAATGAACAACAGATACTGTCACTTAACTACATAAAGAGGAAGAAATACAATTATTGAAAACCTAACTAAATTTAAGAAAGGAATTCTAATATATACTTTAGCAAATACACTTTACTCCAACAGAAGTAATCTATTCTAAGTTAGTTAAACTTAAAAACATAATGCAGGACTTCTACAGTTTGAAAGAAAAAATTTCTTCACTTTTAAGCCAAAAATAATATATAAGTGTAATGACTATATATATGTGGTGCTTGAAATAAAATTTTAACCTTAGTAGCCTCTTAAAATGCTTTTTTAACGTGGCTATTTTCCTTTATCCCAATAACAGTAAGATGCTTACAATTCATTTTCTGAACTGTGGCTTTTAAAATTAATCCATGTCATAAGATTCTCATAATAATATATACATTTATATAATGCAAAAAGGCTTTTACTAAAAATGTAAAAATTTACAAATCAGAACTTGAATTAATAGAAATGAAGCAGAATTATAACTTTAATAACATCTATACTGTAAACTGTATATTTTCTCTCTGCTTCTCTGCTCTTCTAGCATGCTGTTTTCCATTACTCTCTCATACTTCAAATATATTACAAAAATATGATTACCATCATCAAAGAATGGGTACACATTTAGTGCCAGCTGAACTGTTATTATTATTCCAGAATGTTAAGAAATAAAAAGATGTTAAACCAACTATAATTGCAACCACATATTTATACATCAGATATATCAAGAATAAAAAGATGTTAAACCAGCTGTGATTACAACCACATATTTATACATCATATATATCATGTTCTACCTCAGTGGTTCTCAATCTTCCTTGCCATTCACTTATTTCACCACTGCTAAATAAATTATCATTCATCCTCTCTTTTTGAAAATTTGAAAAATGAACACACATTTATTTAAATGTTGACAAATACAAAAACTTGAATTAAGGTAGTTTTTTATATTCATAAACTAAAATACTAAAGTAATAATAACAAAGTAAGTAACTAAAAGGTCGACTATATTATAAAATTCCTCCCTCAAAGCAGAATTTCCCCGGTTGAGAATCCCTGTCATACATCATCCATATCATACTTTCATTAACATATATGTATACACATGCATATTTATAAGTATGCATTTATATTAACTACTGCTTTGTACATAAAATATGGAAATTCACAGCTTTCAATTTAAATTTAATTTTTAGCAATTTTAAATTATTCATTGATATTTATTATTTTCTAGCTCCACTGAGCTAGAAAATAATATTATAATAATATTGTATAATGTTGTATAATAAATAACTCAAATTGTAAACAGCTTGAATTCTTACCTGAAAGCAGCTGACAGGCCAGAACATATTTTTACAAAATTTAAGAACATTTTTAACAAACAAAATTACGTGAGTGGTGGTACTTGTTCCTTTTTAGGGAGTGAGCTCCTAAAAACTCATCACCGTAGTGGTACATATTTAGAAGCTCACCTCCTTTAAAAGGAACAAGTAATTAAATTTTTTATTTAGCATCCGAAATAAACCGAAAAGGAACCGAAATAAACACTTTTGGATGCTTTTAAATCCACCAGTAAGTGTAGAGGAAACCAGATATCCCTGCTAAGATGGAGGAGAATACCCATGCTGGTATACAGAAGCTGTACAAAGAATACCAAAATCTGGATAAAGAGAAATCAAGAAACATGGTTAAAGTAAATGTGGAATGGAAGATTTGGAAAGATTATCTTATCGAGTTATTTGATATTTCCCAGCAAAATGTGATGGATATAACCAGCATATGACAAGGAGATAAAAAATTTTATAGGTCACAAATCGTACGAGTTCATCAATGAGCAGAGTAGACTAGGTATTCATCTCAAAAATAAGCTTCACAGTCTGTGGGTTTCACTTGATATGAAGTCATATAATGCAATGCTGGACGAAGAAAGTCCCGTTTAAGGCTTTCTAGAAGAGAAAATTAACAAGTGAAAATGGTTAACTACATTCAAAGTGCCCTAAAAGATCAGAGACACTGCCATCCAAGAGAAGACTACAATGAATTATTACAACTCACTCCTGTACATAAGTGATTGGTCTCAAAATGACTTGAGTTTCAGGATCCCAGGGCTCTGCATCAAGCAAGGTGGATGCCAAAGGCAATATGTGCACTGAAAATTATGCAGCCTCTAAATATTATCTAGTCTTCTATAAATTTAGTATATATACATTTTACATTTTACTTTTTACCTTATAAAATGAAAACACCCTGCAAAAAATTTCTACTAGTTATGCTTTTTAATTCATATGCATTGACAGCTAAACATTAAATTTTAGACTGACATTTATTTAAGAAAATTCCAATATGTTGAATTAATCACAAAATAACTTACCTTTAACAGGAAAACAGCAAATTTAATAGTATTGAAGCCTTATCAGCTGTTAGCTGGCAAAATGAATTTACTGATGGTACCAACATGGGAAATTCTTCCACATTACTCTACTCAGGTGGCCTGACATACAATAACAAAGGCCCAATTTACTCATTCTACCTTTTTTCTTCAATAGTAGTCACAAACATATGCCCAGTCTATATCTTTATGTCCCTAAAACTATAAGCATTGCACCTGCATCAAATACACAATTTAAAATGCATTTGCAAGCCACATATATTTACTCTTGATACTGAATGCAGCCTGTGAGCCTAAGATCACTTTCTAGCTAATACAGAAAAAAATACCCTCCCCCTATTTTACTCTTATTAAATTTTCTGCAGCTGCTTCTTAAATTTGCAGAGATGCTTAATTTACTTCATTTAGATTATATAATTCATTATCTTAATATGTGTCGTCATATATATATAAATTAGATGAAGAGAAAAATGAGTATCGCTCAAAATTAACATGGATAGAATTTCAAAGTAAATTACATGTGAATTTACAAACATATTTGCACTTTTAGTAAGTAAGCAATCCACTGCTTGAAGATAAAAATTCACATATAATTTACTTTCTTATATATGTATGTAATAACCTTTTAATTCAAAAATTTAGAATTTGTTAAGATATACGTTAAAATATAAATAAGTAGTCCCAAATTAAATATTTCTTTTTATTGTTTGACATTTGTAGCCACAAATAACTTGGCACAAAAGGCACATCTCTTGCAAAACTTTTGTTTTATGGCATTGAGGTAAGAAGAGAAGCAGTGGTGAAACGTCTAATTAGGAAGCAAAATAGGAATCATGATGTGTTTCAGATAAAATTTTAGTTTGAAGTGATTTTGTTTTGAATTAGTTATCTTTTGGTTGGCTAATTTATAATTCTGTAATATTACTCTTAAGTGGTTGAGTTTCAATTTGTAAAATCATCTACATCACCAATATTACTTGTAAGGAAAAGTCATATGATGGCTATTAATTTTGAAATGATGCAGTTTAGAGAGATTTATTATAAACAATTACCGTTTTTAGAACAGAAATGGGGAATATCCAAATTTAAATGAAAAGGGACAACTATAAATTAAAATTAGGATTTTGGTTTACATATTTTTTATCTTATTTATATACATATATATCCTTTTATTTCTAATTAACATTTACAGGCAAATAAAAATTAGATGACAGAAGTAAAATCAAGTGACCGAAGCAAACTAGTTATTTTAATAGCTCACATTAGAGGTAAGTATTTAAGACATAATTTCTTATTGGGGAGGAAATGGAATTCTGATACAGCACAGTAATACAGCAGTGGAAAAATATCATATTGAAAATCTACGCGACAATATAATACATTACTAATTTGTTAGAATTTGAAAATGATGCAAATTATTGCATTAGAATCACAATCTACTGCACTACATATCACAGCACTTATATTGTTTACTGGTTACGAGCATTAATGCCATTGAAAAGATTGATCAGTACCAGAATTTGAAAACAAGTGACAATATTACATGTGGATGTGATTTAATTGACTTCGTTGTGATGGAAATTCGAAATAACAGTTCAAAAGAAGAATGCATATATTACACTATATATGGAGAATACTTTTCTAGATACACTACACAGAAAGTTAATCAGTTTCAAATTCCATGACTGTCAAAGAAAAGAATTTTCTTTAATTGAGCAAACAGAAGAGGTGGACAGGAAGAAGTATATAAGCAAAATCCCAAGATAATTTTCTGAAAGCCTTTTACTCAGAAACTAGGTTATTACATTTCTCTGATGTGAAATCAGAAAACATACTTCAATAAGTTATAATATGGGCCCTTTGGGAGGGAAACAATATGGCCCTGCAAATCTTCTGATGAAGAAACCACAGCTAATGGGGGGGAAAAAAATGTGCTTTTTTCAGGCACACTAAATAAACAAAAACATAAAAGTAAACTAGAGAAATAATGCATAGCTCTCAAACTATGATTCAGGTTGTTCAAACAGTTACAATATGATTATGATGTAAAGTATATTAGATGTTCTACATTTTATGCTAGTCAACAAATTTTATCTTGTAATTTTCTTACACTTTTATACTGAGATAATCCTGAGCAGGAAAGGAAAGCCTAATTCATCAAAACCCTTTTAGGCATGATGAAAATGAATTAAGGTATATACTGCAGGTGTAGATAAACTTAGTAATGTACCACATATTGATGTAAAATAAAATTAAATACAAACATTAAATGTTTAAATATTGGTTGACTATTCCTATAAAATTCTGTAAATGTCTATATTAGATTAGGAGAACTCGGATCAAATAAAATCGAATATGAAAAATTATGCAGAAAATCATGATTGAAAGGGAAATAAAATCCGCATAATTTAAATTTCATTTATTGTTGAAAAAAAAAACACCTTTCTCAATCAAGGATAAAAATTAAGAAACACAAGATCGGTTATCCATCGGGAAATCAGCAGATGCGACAAAAAACTGGAAGAGTTGGAGCTATGAAAATGGCATTTTCTGATAAATTAAAATTTAATCTCTATGGAATATAGTAGGAGAATTACCAAATCCCTAAATAGTACCATTCTGACAGCTTTAGAGAAAAATGTGTGCATCCTCAAGTTCAAAAGGATTAGAATACATCTTCCACTAAACAGCAGACTGACTTTACTCCTTGAACAATACAGTGAATGATACTTCACTTGATCTTAGCCAAAAGGCCAAGAAGCGATAGTACAGTGAATGATTGACTAGATTTCATAAAGGCCCTTTTTAACTGTCCTTTGCAATGTTCTGTCATAGCCCAGTTTGTTGATACTCATTTAGCATTGTGCAGTGTTTCATAATTACCTCAAAATATTAGAATATCATAAATTATATATATAAAATACCTAGGAGCTGCTTGTGCTTTCTTGCCTTCCAAAAATGTCAGATGGTTTTCCATTTCTTCCAAAAGACTTCCAGGAGCCTAAAACAGAAAATATTAAAAACTAATACATAAATGCTTAAATTAAATATATGAAATAGCAGCATAATAGAAATTCACTAATAAGCTTAAGGCCATTTATTAAAATACAGTGGAACCTCATTTAACAAGCATAAATGTAAAATAGGATATTGCATTCCATTCCGAAAAACAATACTGAAACATAACGATATAATTTATTACTTACAATACATCTATTTTTACAAGAAAGTTGACTAAAGTTTTTGCCTATGCTTCCAAATTTGACAGAAATTTGTAGTGTATATAGATACTGCCTTATTAGGGTGATGCTTCTAAACTTAGATGCAAAAGTTTCTGATATTTTTAGAATCTCCCTTATTTAACTGAAAGTCTGTTTCTAGCTGAGGTTGTTTTTAACAGCCTCCTGACAATTTCTTGGTGTGATACAGAAAGCAGCTCCAAAGGCTCTTCGATGTTCAGCTCCTGGCTCTATTCTTTGACTAGCTAGTTAATGTCATAGCTCTACAAGCTCTGTGAGCCCTTGCTCAAACATCACGTTGTCATATTCGACAAAGATGTCCAGCCAAAACTTTCTCCATTGAGAAATAAAGGTTCTCTTTGTGAGCCCCTCCCAAGCCTTGTCAAACACCTTGAGGCACAGAACAATGTGAAAGTGGACTTTCTAAACCTCACTGAGAGTAAAATTGGTTCCTTTTTAAAGTCTAAGATTTTTTGATGCAGGACACATGAAAAATGTGCAATGCCCTTGGTGGGACTCAAATCTGGACCTCTTGAATGCATGCCAAGTATGCTATGATTACACCATGAAGGCATGCAAAAAGGAGGGAGAAAATGCCTTATATACTCTCTCTTTTAAAGAGCAACTGGGGATTAGAGGACCCAATTGCCAAATCCTAGTGGTGAATAATCATCATCCACCATCTTTCAGTTTGGGCACCACTGTACAGTCTTCAGGTTATTTTGAAGCTGGAGGAAGTGAAAAATAAGCAGTATCTTCGCCAGGACTTGAACCTGAACCTCTCAAATACGTGCAGAGTATGCTACCATTATACCACGAAGGTATTCAGAAGGGAGGGAGAAAATAGCTACATCAAAACAACACTCAAACAGTACTTTTACATAGTTTTTAAAATTTGAAATGATTTGCTGGTCCCTGTGTTAGAAGGCAGGAACTGGATCTTGAAAAATTTAAATTTTTCAATTCAAGGATTTAAATTCTAGTCCTGAGGAAGTGCAGAAGCATTGTTCATAACAAGCAAAGCATAGAATGGCAAGTTCAATAAAAGAAGTTTTTTTTTACAGAGGGACTTAACATTTTATTGTTATAATCTGTAAAAACATGTCACTCAAGCCTTGTTGTTGAAACTCCATATGGTATATATAGCCTGCTCTTCTAGATCTCATTCTTCTTAAAGCTTATGGACTGTCCAAATGATACATATGCAGTGGTTTAATTTTCAAATCAGCACTTACATTAGCACAAAATAAAAATGCTAGATGTTCTAACTGTGGCAGTGCCTACTCCTCTCTGTAATATAAGTTCACTTTTGACATCTCTCTTCAGGTAGAACCCATCCCATGACAAATCAAAACCAGCTGTGACAGATAAACCTGCTATAACAGAATTCAGAAGCTCTCTTCCCCCCCCCAATATGCTGATGTTCTCAGCTGTCTTTTATGTCTGAACTTGTTGCTTCTCAGTGCCTTACAATGCTCTGGATACCGGTTCTTCTCTTAAACACCCCAACTTGCCTTGAATGCTTCTTCTTAGTCTGTTGAAGATTCTGACATCTTCTTAAAAAGAAGCTGGAAAAAAAAAACAGTTCACCTTCTCACAAATTACATTTTCATTCCAATTATGTTTTCCTTCATTAATTACTTTTTCACAAATTAAGTTTATGTGAAACTGAAAGGTTTTCACATTGTATGGTGGAAGCCATTTCAAAGAATTCCCAAACTGACTTTAATTTACTTTATAAAGCCTGCTTCAGGTTACTGAATTTGTGTAATTCAGTCCTAAAATATTTAATTAAATATCCAAAATTTTATTTCTTTGGCTAATTTAATAATTTTCTTACACTTTTACACTGAGAAAATCCTGAGAAGTGAAGAAAAGCTTTTACTTATGAATGCACTTTTAAGTGCAATAAAAATAAAGCTGATAATCAATGTAAGGATAAAAATTAAAAAGCGAAAGATTTTGCAAAATACTGGAAAACTGAAGCGATGTGATAAGAAACTAGAAATCTCCCAGTAAAACCGACACAGTCGGCAGCAGCAGCTATGCTATACCAATAACAATTTTTCAATATTATGCAGAATAGGTGGTCATTGTGTAAAAATACTTGTGATAACCTTTGAAGCAATGATCTCCTTAATTTTATTCTTGTTTTTGAGGATATAATGCACGCAATTGATGCAGCCTGATTATGCGTGCATGTTACATTAACAATACTCGTACGTTGTTTTTGCTTCTCAGTGACTTGGCATTTGACTGATACAGCGATTTTTGTTTACTCATTTTCTTGCAGCATTTTCTTTGGAAACTATCATGTACGTGTATTTAAATTTTGTGGCACAAAAATACACAATAATGTGTCTGAATACAACTTTCAAAGTGACATTAAGATGCTAGCTGAACGAGAGCTAAACATAGAATGAAAAACGTGATGCAAGCAGAATCCTACGCTTGAGGTCCCGATGTCTACACCTGACTCATTATGGGAAACACTGCTGGTTAAGGGAGTCATTTAGTTTACATTTTGTTTTGCTCATTATGCAAATCACTTGTAAGCACTGCTCATTAAGCAAAGTTTGATTGTATATGCTTATACGTATAAAACAGATCTAGATATAAAAATTGAAAATGTTCAATAAATGTAATACATTTTAATCTCTTAGATAATGATAAAACTTACTTTTGTAAAATCTGGTATACTGCCTTTGTCAATACCTACACTCTGAAGGAAAAAAATTATATATAGGAATAAGAACATATTCATCCAAATAATTACACTAATGTATAGAAAATACACTAAGAGCAAAATGAATGGTAGGACTATATAGGCATTTCAAAAACGGCTGAATTTTGAAAAATGGCTTAAACATAAAATAAATATCACACATACATCATGAAACCTTCATATAAAATTCTTAGAAAAATAATTATTTGGGAAAATAAAGATAATATTTATCAGTGTTAATACATACATATATAGATAACATGCTTACCACATATCACATGAAATCCTATAGCATTGCTTTTATTCCATAAGCAAGTTTTCCTAATAATTAAGTTAAATGTAAAATTCAAAATCTTACTCAAATATTCAGTTAACTAAAAACTCACAAATTATTCAAATACTCAATCAAATTACACAGTCAAAGATGTGCAATGGAATCTCCATGCTTGAAACACTTTTTACAAATTTTTACAAACAAATGATTTTAAAATGTTTTAACCTTATTTTGGCCCTAGTGGTGGCATCTGCTGCCTTTAGACGCAGAGGACTATTTTATTGGCAGAAGAGGTTATTTTACAATTCATTGGCAAAGCTATCATCTGGCGACTTGTCAGCATGCATTTTCACACTTGACCATTTACCTTGAGAGCGATGGTGGCAAAATTAAACTCAGTGGTGTAACAGCCCTAATGGGCCAAGGCCTGCAGTTCCCGAAAATCTGCTTTCTTGACTGCGTGTCCCGAGGTGCATGGTAAGCATATGCCCTGAACAAGTGGTCAGCTTGTCGCAGGACCCCCAATGTTTAATCTCCAAATGAACTTGGTACTAATTTTATTAACCCAAGTGATGGAAATCAAGGGATAAAAGGCTGAGTCGGCCTTGCCCAGCCCAAGAATCGAACCCTGGACCTGTGGTGCTGCTGTGCGATGCGCTAGCCACTGCGCCACTGGGCCTCAATGGTGGCAACTGCCATGACATATTAGTTTCCATAACTCAAGTAGGAACATATTAATATGTTGCAAGAGAGTTCTAACACCTATAAACAATTTCTTGTAGACTTTTTATTTTGGGGGGGGGAAGCATTTCAAAAAGTTCAGGGCTGAAAGGGTTAATGCAAAGGCATAGATAATTTATTAATAAAAAGTATTCAAATCTATTTGACTTGACAAAGATGACTCCATGAGAGATTTTATTAAAAATACCTTATGTTGGACCCCCTCCCTCCGGGGGAAAAAACTGCAACTAGCTTTATTTTACTGTTAATATAATCTGTATGAAACTACCAGTGTTCAATGATCCTATGCTAACAATAGCTATGTGATAGGTAATTTAAATGCAGAACTCTTACCTATGCAGGTAATTTCATAGGTGAAGATGACTATGAAGTGGGTTGGGACAATTGGTTTCAATAGATTTTATCAACCTGGTTAGCATTTGGTCATAGGATAAATAAGCCTTGTCTAAATAAATTCTCTGCCTACTTCATATTACAGATAAGGATTACTCAGCTTGAAAGAGAATGTCTATGTGGAAAAGTTCAAAAGACAGCAGCCCAATATACATGCATCAGTTAAAACTCTCAGTTGATGCAAACTAAAATTAAGTCCAAATTAAAAGAAAATCTAATCACATTAAAAACACAGTACCAGTAAACTACACAGTACGAGAAATGAACCATATAATGCATTGTCCACAATTAATGATATACACAATTCAATCATATAACATTATAAATACAAATTTACAGAATGCAAAGAAATTCACTTCTAACTGAATCAACATACATTTATTCTTAGGTAGTTGTGTATAGCATAAATTACTGGCACCACACAATGAAATCTAAAGAAAAAGAGTTTTTTTAATTACCTCTGCAACTTTTAAGAAGTCTGAAACTTTATCCATTGCAACAATGAATTTTTTATAAATATCTAAGGCCTCTTTACAATGCTTTTTATTCATATTAAAATATTTCTCTAGAGGAGAAGAAAAATTATAATTAATAAACACAATATACATATTTCTGGTGTACATTCACATTTTCTACAAGTTTCTACACATTTCTTTATGTTTTTACATTTTCTATGTTTTAACAACATAAAGGTAAAAAGCCTGATTTCATTCCATAACTATAATTTAATCAAAAACTAAATAATTCATCAAACCTTTAAAGGATTTAATATTTTAAATACATTTCACAAAACATGAAAAGCATGAGAAAGCACATTTAACACTAAAAATAAATAATCAATTTAAAACCCGATTTTTAGTTAAATTATAGAAGGTAAAAATCCAATTCTGGATCACCAAAATCATTTTCTCTACACAAAATAGCACAACACTACATCAACAATTCTGAGCTCTAAATATGGTATAGTTTATTAGCTACATTCTTCCTTTAACGAGTATGTTACGAAAACTAGAAATTATAATTAGTGAGCAAGTTAGTTGATCAACTGCTATATTTTAAATTTTGATTATACAAAAGTATTTAGTTTTACATGTTAAACAATTTTCCTTTTTCTCAGAAAGTTTTTATTGTGTTGAATATGCAAGTTATTAAAGGCACAATGTTATGATGCATCAAGAACACCTTACCTTTTTATTTGCAATAAATATACAAAATAATCTCTATTAAATATTAACTTCATAAAATTCAAAATTGCACAAAGGGGATGGCTAATTTAATACTTTTTCTCCTCCCCCCTTTTTTTTCTTTAAGAAACAGAATAAAAATGGAGTTTTTCCAAATTTCCTTCAATAAGAATTTTCATATTTTCTTAAACATTACTTATAGATAACTTATTTAACCTGAATTTAGAAAAACAGATTATAACATTTAATTATGAAGTATTTTAAATGTAGTAATTTATTACTGTGGTATAAATACTTCACTGATTACCATTTTTACATGAAATATAAGTAATACAACATTCAATTTTAGTTCTAAAAGTAGACTTGTTCCTATAAAATCTCAGCAGAAACTACACATAAACCTAAAAGAAACAATATGTAGAAACATAAAAAAGAGAATTATCTAGATAATTACAAACCAAATAAGTTAATGATCCCATCATTGTAGGCAGCAAATAATTGAATTAAATCTCGATATAGCAACACAAAACATGAATTCATTACTCCGTTAGTTAAATCATCAGGACTACACTGAAAAACAAAAGTATACTGATATAAAAATGTGACAATCAATATGCAAGGTATAATACATTAATGCAAAAATTTTAAACTGCTTATATAAAGTTGATGCTCTGATAAGTGTTTTTTCATTAAAATAATTGCTTTATTCATAGATATTAAATATTGGCACATATGAAATGCAAATGAATCGATATTTGCCTATATATATATATATGTAAATATAATAAGAACCATTAAAAGTCACGATCTAAAGTGATATGAATGCATAGTATTTGTGCAAAATTTTGTTGAAGATTGCACAAAATTTATGGTGAAGTGTATAACAGAGAAGTATATAGTAAAACCTTCCATATGAATTGAATATTGAAAGAAAATGACAAAAATATACTGATGTGCCAGGTGCAATATTTATTACCATTATAAGAACATGCCGCTACATTGCTGTTGTAAATTCTATAAGCAGGTATTTCTGCAATGTGTTAAAGAAATCACACTGAAGGTGGAAACAGAAAATCCTAAAAAAATAGATTATATATAAAAAAAAAAAAAAAAAAAAAAAACATAATGTAGATTTAAAGAGTACTTCAGATTATATTCTAATTACCCAACATAACGAAAGACTGAATATGGAATATAAATGCATAAAATGAGAACCATACATAAAATGCAATGTAATGTGCAGTGTATGTTAAGAGTTTTACTGTCATTAACCTTTTGTGGAAAAGAAAGTTCAGGGCAGTTACATGAGCAATCTGTCACATTATCTGCACTAATATTTACAAATGGCTCAAGATTTGAGGAAAAGGAACATATTTGCAGAAGCTGACAATATCTACACAGTACTTCAAACACAGCTTGATTTATGCCCTGCCATATTGCTGTAATAAAGCAATAAAAACCATTGCACATCATTAGGCAAGCAGCCTTAGTGGCAAAATTGTCAAGCATAAAATTTTAACTTAGCAGGTTTTGTATGATAAAATGCAATAAGAAGCAGAAAAGCAATTGAAATATAAACCAAGACAACAAATAAAACTTCACTTTTGACAGCAGAAATTCAAGAAGGATATTATTTCATCACCATCTTCTATTACTTAAAAACATACTTCTATTTGCAGGAAAGGCCATAAAAACAGAACAGGTGAAGTAAAAATTAACAACGTTCAGTATAAAATTTACTGTAACTGAAGAAACCTGATAACTATTAAACACATTTAGCAGAGATCACAAAATTTGGGTAGAGTAGACTTTAAGGTACCCCTTGAATTATGGCGAAGTTGTTCTTTGATTTATCGCCAAGTTGTTGTTTCATTTATGGTAGCCTGAGTAGTTGAATGTTATGGAAACCCTATTGTGACGTAATCGGGTGCATGATTCTGGGAAATTTTGAATCATGGGATATTTTGTAAGCGTTTTTGCGGTGCGTCTTGGTTTGATTCTTTAGACTGTAGAATGGCCAAATGTAGTAAGATTAATTTGAATTTTCTGTACCATTTGGAGTGAAAGGGGAAAAGAGCTTTAATTGACAGGTGTGCAAATGAAAGCTTACTTAGTAGCCTTTATAAGTGTCCTGTATGTAGGAAGCATATGCGTCTAGTCGAGCGTAAAAACCGTTTAGATGGATTTGAATGGGTTTGTAGGAAGAAAGGTTTAGATGGTCACTATGTGAAGCGTTCGATCAGAAAGAGTATCTGGTTTGAAAAAAAGTCATTTGAGTATGATTGATATTTTGATTTTTACGTGGCTCTGGGTGTACGAAGCGAACTCAAAAATCATGGTAAGTGAATATTTGCTTTTGGTAGTGCTTAAATGTATAACATGTTTTTCCTTTATGTGATTTTATTGCTTGGTTTAAAATTTATTTTATTGAGACTATGTATTTTTTGTTTGCCTATGTTTTAGAATTTGGTGCTCCTTTGACTTTTTAAGTGAAAATATATCGATGTGTACATGGACAAAGTAAAAGAAGTGTGCAATGCAAGTTTGTGCAATTCTGTGATTTTTTTTAAAGTGAAAATAGGTCGACGTGTACATGTATAAAGTCAAAGGAGTGCGCAATGCCATTTTTGTGCAATTTGGGGATTTTTTTAAGTGAAAATAAGTCGATGTGTACATGGATACCAAGTTTGTGCAATTGTTTGTCTTGTTATTTTGGCTTTGTGTAGCGACGATGTTTGGTGCAAAAATCGCCGCTTCGCATGCCAAAATAATGAGTCAAAGAATTGCAAAAAATCAGTATCCATGTACCGCCAAAAATCACCAAGGGGGGCCCTAAACTATACTTTTACCCAAAATTTAATTCTAATGACGTTAGGAAGGAAGAGAATGACATGAAGACTGACATAAAAATGGTAATGTGTGACCTTTTGGATAGTGGAACTTGCATGATACAGATGTTCATAAACAATAAATAATAATTAAAAGAAAAACTTACATCAAATTCCATTAAAGCATCCATCTGTTCATGCAATATTGGCAGAGTTTTTAGAAGCTAAAAACATAAAAGTAGTTTTAAACATATTTACATAATTGCTTTAAAATGCAATAAATTAGAAATCTGAAGAAATATGATCAAAAATTTTTATATGATTACAATACCTTAGACATGGGCTATAGACATAATTCAAATCAAAACATACATTGAATACTATAAAAGATAATTCTTTTCATAAAAATCACATATATTTATTTATATTCCACTTTATTATTTTTAAAAGCTAACAGATACAGCTTTAGGTGTTAAAAAGGAATTATGCCATAATACTCATAAGGAAATAAAACACTCAATCCATTCCAAATTTGTTTACAATAAAAAGTCTGTTTAGGTTAAAGATTTACAAATTCTTTCCTCCCTTAAATTTCAGTTTCAAAACTACATAAAATTTAAAACTCAGTCTAATTTCAGATACCCCAAAATGAATACCCCAAATTAAACCTTTGTATTCCATTGCTGCCTATAATATTACACTTAAAATATGAACTTCCAAATCCAGTATAACTGATATGGTGACACACTTGTTTTGCTTACTTGAGCACTTGGAAAAGACTCTAAACCACAGAATTTGGCAATAATTGCCACGGGAAATCCTGTAAGTGTATAAGTGATTGTTTCCAAAAATATAAATTGAAGATTTAAAAACTTGAATTTGCTTTAAATAATGTAGCTAAGGAATAATTTTGTTTTATTGCAACAACTATATTTTTTGAATATTATATATTTACGCTTATATAGTGCTGGAATTGTTGGTATACTACATGAGCCACTAGGCTGAAGTGCAACAAAGGATTAAAGATCTATCACATTCATTACAACATTAGTATTACATAAGGATAGTTTTAACATATTTAATAATACATTTTTTACATTATGCATTTATAAGTATGTGCACGCTTGTTGGTGCTTTGTTTATAAACTATTAATATAGAAATTTCAAAAAATGACAAATGTTTACATAGTAAAAGCCCAATTATATGGCCATCAGCGCAAATTTTCATGAATAATGCTTGGAATAACACTCAACAATGAACATGTGTTCTTTTATCATTAGCACCATTTTGTATTACATTCAGTTAGCTACTAGACAACACCTAATCTAATTTTTAATGATCTTTTTGCTGTCTAGAATGTTTTCATGAAATTCTGAAAATGCTTTTCCGGGACATTTTTACTTTAGCTATTGTGTAGGTGTAATACTCCTGCTCACTTTTTTTTTCCTTTTCAATTTTAATGATAAAATTTTTTGTCAATACATAATAATATTTAATACATGTAAATAATGAAAAATCAATTATTTAATGCATTTATATGATGCTTATATTTAACTTACAATCCTTTTCATTTATTTTGTTATAGAGAGTTGAAATCATGAAAGAGATTTAAAATATAGCCTATCTTTGCTTAAGCCAGTCTTTTCATAAATTTGAGTCTACCAATCTGAGATTAAGTTAAGGCTTAAACCTCGATTTTCTGATATGCTCTTGCTCCATTAAAGACTTAATTTAATGCTTATTAAAACTTTCCAATACCCAATGGTAAAATTACTTTCAATATTTGCATTTATAATGAAAAGGTTTAGATATATATAACAACATTTGATAGATATATATACAATATATATATATATAATGCACTGCTGAAGAAACTGACATTATGGAATGATGAAAAGCCAAAATACAGTAAATCCCTATACAAAAATATATCTAGAAACAAGAATGGCATCTACATACTCTATCTAATTAGCTAAGTATCCTATCGATTTTAAAACTGATATCTGATTCTATAAACACTCTTTTAAGTTAAGAAAATCAAAAAGTTGTTCAAATATAAAATTATAAACTGTTAGATAAAATAAATACTTACTGTTTCAGTTGACATATTTCTCAATACACCTTCTTCTTTACTGTAATTAAAAGAAATTAAAAAAATTAACTCTTTTGTAAGTATTTAGTTCAAGTAAAATTATTTAAATTGTAGAATAGAAATTCATACCCCCGTTTCATTTTACAAAAATCAGCACCCATGATTCTGTATGTCGATGCTTTAATATTTAAATATTTTGCATATCGTCTAACGAAAGTGGACATATCATATCCTGCAAAACAAGAGAATTTAATAAACTTTACTACTTAATTAATAATTTACAATTACATACGTCTTGTATCTTTGACACACTAACACTAGCTTCACATTTTATTTACAATCACACATTTACAGCTTTGGAAGAAAATGCATAATGATTCAGATTAAATTATCCTCATGAGAAGGAAGATATATTCATAACTTATACATTTAAAACTCCCATATACACTAGTTTGCTAATTCTATTCAACATCACTACGACAAGATATTAAAATCTTTAATTTCTTATTGGCTAGAAATTTGATTCCCATTGTCCTACTGAAAAAAATGGCCTTCCATCAGTCTTTTAATTTGAATGATTTTCTAAGGAAAAAATTAAAATATTAAATACAAGACCTTACTACAACCAAACCTGGATTAACCGCTTCCCTTACAAATTTTTTTGAAAAACAATTGCAAAAAATCATCACATTTTTTTATTTATTAATACAACAAACGAAAAATCCAAATATGTAGATTTTAAGTTGAAGTTGTACAAGCATTTATTTTTCATATTAGTTTACTATCCCAAGTATCTCGGGTAATGAAAAAAGTTAATATTAATCTTGTATGATAGTTTTGAACAGGGCCAACACGAGCGAAATGACGTTCTACACGTATGGTCCTCTTTTCTATGGGCTTGTGGAATTTTCAGGAGCACAGAAACATGTCTCGTTGGATTAGAATTTTTTTTTTCCCCCACCCTTTCATAATCACTATCTGAAAAATCATAGCTTTCGCTATCTCCATCATCGCCATATTTAATTTTTTCAACGCATGCATCCTCTTATCCATTACTAATCCACAAGCCAACGTAATTATCAAAAGGGAAACACGGGACCAGTCCTTCCCCCAAAAGAACCGCGCAACCAACAAATTTTGGCAAACTGCCAATCAAAACTGAATATTTCCTTTCATTTCCAAATTTTTCTGAATGTTTCCTTTCATTTTCAGACCGAATAAAACCATGATAAAAGAAATCGTACTAACAAATTCTGCTTCACCCGAGTTTTCTCGGTATAATAATTAACTGCAATATATACGAACCCAAGATAACTCGGAATAATCAGGCAAGCAGTTAATAAACTGTTTCTCAAAATCTTAGTTTACATCAGGTTCTTCCGACAGCCACTTCAAACATGGTGGCTGACCACCATAATGTTTGAAACTGAATGCAGGTTTAACTGCAATGTAAGATTAGTGTGTGTGCTCTGAAAAACGATAGTATAATACTCTAGAACCATGCCTGCATATTTTAATACTTAACAGAAATTTTTAAAAATTATACTCCCTAAACATTTTTTCAAAAACCATTTTCACATAATATTTATTACATTTTAATCTTTAATCCCTGTTACGAAACCTCAAAGACATTTATGGCATGATGAGATACACTTTCTCCCTTTCAAATGGAAAATGAAATATATTTTACTAGCAATATTATGAAAATAATTTTTAATACTATTTTACCTATATTACATAAAAAATAACTATATGAAAGACTGCACAAGAGAAATATAACAAATTTGTAATAACATATATTAAAGGTTAACTTTAAGTCCTTTAATTTTTTACAAAGAATTTACCTCTCATTTGTTAAGCACCGTAGTCACCCTAACTTTTCATTTTGCAATACTGCACTAGAAAACTGCTTAAATAAAATCTTGAAAACTTGTTTAATGGTTTGTAACAGCAAAGAATTAAATTTAATTGATAGTCAGAATTAATGAAAATGTTATAATGCAAAAATGGATATCCAGAAGGACTATTAATTTCGCTTTGGCATTTTACGTGGATTCACAATAAACATTTCACTTTTCAAATTGTTGTCACCAAATATTATCGCACTGTATTATATTTAAAGAAATTAAATAATGAAGAATCTGCATGAATGTGTATGTATGTTTCTCGATGTGTTAAAAACAACAGACCTAGAGCATCAAAATTTGAATTATGTAATCTTTCATAGAATATGGGTATGTGGGAGCCCTAATTTGAATTTGTTTCATTATCAATTTCATATTTTGTAACACTTCAAAGAATTTTTGATTAACAAACTCAACGATTTAAAAGCGAGCAATGGCAACACTCTAAAGGGGGGTAAACCATTTTATCTCCAAGATATGCTCATTTTAAAATTATTCTGCGATATTGCTGTTGAACTGAATTTTAAAGTTTAAGTGTAAAGAACATGATATTTAATAAATAAAGATAGCACATAAAATGTTAAAAAAATGCCCCTTTAAATGGAATTTAAAATCTGAAACCTTTCAGACTTTTTTTTAACTGTAATTTCTAATTATTTGCACTTCCCAGAGAAGTCACCAACTCACTAGTGCCTTTGTGAACTGGTGAAAAATACTTTTTGGCTATCTTTACAACTTAGAGATACTGTTCTGATCACAAATAATAATAAAAAGAAGCATTTTCTAATAAAAAAAATTTTTGAAAGAAAAAAATCCATTTGGCCACACTTACATTTTTGCAACATATGAATACTAATCATCAAAATGACTGTTAAATATAAAGCATATAAATCCACATGTTCCCAAAGTTGTCTGCATGAGTTGATTAATTATACATCTTCCAAAATATGCACAAAACATGGCAGTTTTACCATATGTTGGAACGAAGGGTGCAGATATTCGGGAAGTACCATTTTTATTATTTTCTAACATAATTTAAATCAATATATTTTAATTCAAACTGAGAAAGACCTACACTGCTCATAGAACATATACTATATTCTTTGTACAAACAAGTACTTTACAGGAAATAAAAAATACAAAAAATAACAAGGTATTTGATATTTAATATTAAAAAATGAAAATTCTATGATTTTTCACAAAGTACTGATCTTTAATTGAGGATACTGTCGATCTATTATGATCCTAACAAGTAGTAGGTTGAAAGTTGGTTATTTATTATATGCAGATTTAAAATAGTGCTGGTGATTACACGTGTAGATGAAGAATCTAGAAATTTAAGGACATATCATATAAGTGGGCTAAGATTCCTGGTATACTATGAATGTATTCCGACAGCTGAAATGGATGAATTATAAGACTCAATTTTTTTCATTCTTCTATTTGCATAAAATTTGGGAGAATTACACATTTGGTTACAGATTAGATTGCAACTTAAATGGCATTTTAGTATTGCTTCTATTGTCAGAAGTTAATACAAATGAAACTGACTTTTGCAATAAGCTGATAACCCTCTATCAAAAAAAAAAAAAGAGGACTTTTAAGTATAAATTTACACATGAGAAAGATTTGTGGAGAGTTTGTTATTAATCATCACAAATTGCTAAGCAAAGGTAAATACCATTGGTTTACATGATTACTGAAAGCTGGCCATTGTTTATATATTATTGAATACAGGCTGAAAATATAGTTTTAGATTTATATATTAGAACTCAGGTTTTGAGAAAATGATGGTGATAACCATTTAACTTTAACAGAGGAGAACGAAAGAAATATTTTTATCACAGGATAAGAATTTTGATGATTATGTTTATTTTCATTTTCTTGACTCTGTCTAGAAATACTGCAGGTTTTTATTAATCAGTGTCAAATTACAATTAAAAAAATGTTACACATTTTAAAAGCTTGTATGCTCACCTGAACTTCAGTAATTAAAATACTACAGAGGACATTTTATTATTTCAATTACCAGCTTACCAATTTTATAAAAAGGGAGAGGGAAACTAAGAGAAATTTTGGTACCAAAAATTTTGCTAAACAGAAAAAATTTGATTATTATAATTCATCTTAACACATTGTTAAGAGTTTAATATGAAATAAAATAAGCCTCAGTTTCATACACTTTTGGTATATATGTAAATTCAACCTGTTCATACAGATTTAAATATTTTATAAAAAAATCTTATTCAAATTTGAGTACTTTGATTATCCATCACACAATGCTGTTGAAAAGTGGTAAAAAGTATTCATCAGACAAAGTAAAGCTACCAAAATATTTAAGCACAACCTAGATATGTGTGCAGCATAATGTGGAAGTTACACGAAGCCAAGCCCGTGCAATTCTATTTTTTCAAGCAAAAACAGGTTGCTGTGTACATGGGAAGAACAATGCAGAAAAGAAGGATTTTTGAAACAGATAAATGTTTTATTACTGATGTTTCTTGTTTTTTCAATTTATTGACTGACTGCTCTTGTATGAAATCCTTAGCATGTCACCAATTTGAAAATGGCTGCTGCTTATTATATGCATTAGCTTAGCGAAAAATTAGTCTACAATAAATTCGCATATGCTTTCTGAAGTAATAAATTTGCCTTGCTTTCAGTAAGGGACAGAGATGATAAAAATACCAAAATTTGGTTGTTGATATTTTTTAATGTGGTTATGAAAGCACTGCCCCTCAACGATGAGACATTAGGATTTAGAAATACATTTCATTTTGCAACCTGCTTTTATATGAAGCATACAAACAGTATTTTCAACACCAATAGTTTTGTTTTTCTTACTAAAATTTCATGTTGTGTTATCACATTACAACACAATCATCCAAACAGGTTGCAATAAAGAGCATATGAAATAACTGAAGTTTTATCTTGCGACCTTTGATCTTTTTACACTCTCCATTTGCCCAACTTTTCATCAATTCAAGCAGGAATTTTATTTTAAAAATAGCTAAGTTTTCTTGCATAGTTCAGCCTATTATTTTTTAAAAACACAACTTTTTTTTTTTTTTTTTTTTTTTTTTTTTTTTTTTTGTTAGGGTGCAAATACTGATCGCTCCAAATAAATATTTTCTTTATTGTTCCAATTCTGATATCATATTTTATTCATTCCATTGGCAGTGTGAATTGTAGATATCATATGTATCACTCGTCAAGACTGGAAGAGAATTTCAGGCTTGAAATAAGATAGCTTGCTTAATTTATTTAATATGCAAATTCTTGCTAATTACTGTACAATTTATAATTGCTACTAAAAACATACAGCATATCAGCTCTAATCTTCAACACTTAAAAAGTAATAGTTTTCTATTATTATCTATAAAAATATCATTTAGCATTTCGTTTGTATAATTTCATTATACAACGGAATTTTTTTTTCTTTTCACTCATGAATAACAAATTCTGTTTGGATTTCCTATACTTTTTGATAAACAGATACATTAATGCATTTTTTTTTAAGTCAAATGTCAACTGTTTTAAGGTTGGAAAGAAATATTATACATATACTTTTCAGCACAAATTAAAATTGTACAATTATAAAAACTAAAAATTTACATTAACTTATTTGAGTACCTTAATAAAACAAATATTACCTTGTGAAGCAGTTCTGTCAACAAAATTACTAAGGTGAAACGAACAACTAGATGTTGCCATGCACTGAATAAACTTCTGCAAAAAACAAATATTACTTATTCAAATTTTAATACATCATTAATAATACAAACATAAATATTAAATTTCTTGGCTCTTTGCAGCCTAATTTTATTCAGAGAATAATGAAAAAAAAAAAAAAAAAAATCACACGTGATTTTATCAAAACTTATTTAATACAAGAACTGATAATACATATAAAACATATTAATAATCTAAATTTCTTAAACCAAAACTAATAAATTGAATAACAAAGTGAAATTTATTTGAGAAAAAACATGATTCTAAATTCAATTATTATATCTATTTATAAAGGTATTATAAATTTATATATTGTATATAAATTTAAAATACATTTATAAATGGCTTTTAAGAGAATCTGCAATTTGTTAGTTATAAAATTTCATGTATTATTCAGGTGCTATTTTTATAGTTATAAAAACATCAAATTTTATTAAAAAGAAGTTCAGTACCTTGTGCGCTAAGATTTTCACAAGTTCACATAAAATCAAAAAGTCTTTACAATGAATTCACATATGTTTAGAAGAAATTATACCTAGAAAATAACTACCTTGATAATTTTATTTTTGAGCTCAGGTTAGAATGCACATACATTCAGTTTGAAGCTAGTACCCACACAGTACTAACTTTTTTATATACTATTTCTTTTCATTCATAATAAAAATCAGTTTTTAATAATTATATAAAACAATCATATTTCTTGTTTTATGCATAAATTATTAAATTTTATATTATTTATGTAAATTTTGTGTTTAATGGCATACGAAATACAAACAAGACAAATTTAGTGCGACCGGAAAAATGCCCACAGGAAAAATGGCCACATAGAAAAATGCTCACTTAGAAATATAGTCCCTTGGACAAATGCTCACATTAAACCTTTTAAGGGGCTGTATATAAAAGCATGAAAACTATAGTAAAACTTATGTACTGTAATATTTTATACCACTGCCCCTGTAACTACCTTTTCCTGTAACTGCCAATAATTAATTTTTGTTTTTTACTCTATTTTTGCATACTTTTGATGTGTATCTAAAGAAACTGATGTTTGAATGTAGTTATTTATGTTTGGAGCCAAAAAAGTTCTAAAGAAATTTAAAATTTTAGAAATAAAGTTAACATTTTTAGGCACTTTGATGATGCCTCTCAGTTGAACATCATGAAGCAAGCAGCCTTTGAAAAACTTCCTCAAACCACAAATTGTTGCAAAGGCTTTTATAGCGAACTTAAATTCATTATTTAATTGTAGTCATCCCAGTATGTGGTTTTTATTTGACGGACTGAAAAAAGATTTTGCCTGTCAACGTTTGCTATCAGCTAATGTAAATACAGGATGTACTGATGTAAAAAAAGAAAAAAGAAAAAAAAAAAGAAAATATAAAAACTTACATTTGATAATCGGGAATCATGTAAGAAACTGTGATGAAATCGATGATAAAATTAAATATTTTATGTAATTTCAATAAAATAATAATCATTTCTATTTGCTTATTCTCCTAAATGTTTATATTATAAAATATGTACCTTATATTTATTATTTAATTTTTTTAACAATTAAAATTGCAATAATTCTTCATTGTATATTCCATTTCATTTTTACTTCCTTCCCCTTCTCCTTTTCTTAATTCAAAACGGCCCATTTGTTAATCTTATATAGCAATTGAAGCTACACATAAGTTATACAGTTTTTGAAATCTATACCGTACTTTGGTAATTTAAATAATTTTTCTTTTTAAAGTTCAAGCAGGTGTATGATGTTCAAATCTATTAATTATTAATTCATTACTGTAAGGATATTTCTACGTAGATCATTTATGTGGGCTTATTTCCATGTGAGCATATTTCTATGTGAGCTTTTTTCCGTATGAGCATATTTCTAAGCGAGCATTTTTCCATGTTTTTTTTTGGGGGGGGGCATTTTTCCATGTTTTTTTTTGGGGGGGGGCATATTTCTGTGTAGGCTTTTTTCCTGTGGGCATTTATACCTGTGAGCATTATTCCTGTGGGTTTTTTCCCCAGAACCCAAATTTATAATTCGTGTATTCAATACATTTGATATAAATAAGCTGAAAGTTAAATGCTGTAATATTAAATCATAAATGTAAAAAGTATTCACACACCATCTAAATTTTAATAAAATGAGAAATTTTATTACCATTATAGATTTGAAGATAACTTGAAACCATCCAAAAATTCAAAATATATTCTCAATGATACACTTCTACAAAACAAAATTATTCTCATCTAAACTTAAATAACTAATAATTACAGAAAACTAAATAGAAGTAGTGAATGAATGCACATTAATTATTTGTATATCTACAAAAACAAATTATCTTTTACAACTTATGAAAGTAGGGAGTACAATGTATTTTATCATTGAATAAAAATTAAGCTTCAATAAAAGTAAGATTAGAAATATATTCGGATTTTCAAAACACCTTACAAACAAACAAAAACAAAAACAAAAAAAAAAAAAAAAAAAAAAAAAAAAAACTACTGTGTGTGATAGGAAGTTAATCATAAAGCTTTAAGAAGGCAGAAGATCTTTTAATCAATCATGTGTATTCATACCCAGATGGTACAAACAATTTTGGTACTTTTCTGCATTTCTGGGACCGGATTCCAAAATGCATGTGTGTGTGTATACATACACATAGATAAGTACCTACATATATAAATGCATGCATTTCTGAATCCAGTTCTGATAACAGAACAGTACCTTAATTTTACCATACAACCAATAATATATTTAAGATTTACAATAAATTGGGCTTTAAGCGATTCAAACAGCAAAAATTTATTTGCAAATTAAATAAATCAATTAAGATGCCTTGTTTCAAACTTGTAGTCTGGCAGCTAGATGTGGTTATCATAAAAATAAGTTCACAATTTGCCATGTATGTATTTGTACCGGGGGTGGAGGATCTGGCTTTTGCGATCATGTTTAATGATTAGTTCACTTCTGAAAGAAAAAGTATCAATTCCTAAAACTGCAAACTTTGGCATTATTTCAGTTTATTTCTACGATGGGTTACAAAAATATTTATCGAAAACAAATACATTCCAAGCTCTTCGCAAAATCCGAATTACTACCAAACAACTGATAAAGCCATCACTGCTGTTTCCCAGAAATAAAATGACTGTTTCTCAAATCATCAAAATTACATTGGCAGCTCTCACATCCGTATACCAGATAACAAATACACGTATTTTCCAATTATCCGCACCTCTGCCAAAAAGCATTCATGAGGCAAAACAGTATGCCATCAAAACAGTTATGTAGTAACAGATGATGCCATCAAAAAGTATCTATGTGTACTTCTATATTAACGAAACACCTTGGCGCAATGGGGCAATTTTTAACACACGAAAAAGCAAAAGTTGCTTATTGGGTACAAGTTCATAGTTTTCATACCTGTTTTAAAAAGATTCCCAAATTATCAATATTTATTGCAACCTGGTAAACATTATCAACAGAAAATTTAAAATACTAGTTTGAATTATTAAATAAGGATTAAATGATACATTAAAAAATAAAATGCTACCATTCTTCTTCAAATCTTTGTAATTTTTTCACACTATTCTTCTTCCGAAGTACACATCTATTTTTGCCTTAAAAAAAATCAGAGAATTGCACAGGCTCAGCTTTATGCAGCCCTCAACAACAGCGGTTATATAGGAAAAGCATTTCCTCATTGTTCTTTTCAGAAAATGTTCTGCAAGATTCTGTATTCTAGCAGAAATTTTACTGCAGTTTCTTCCACTGCTTACAAATTCCACAAGCTAATACTTTAAAACTAAATTTAAGGCAAAAATATCATGATTTGTTTATAAAAACTGTTAGAACTCGGAATACATAAAAAAAGAACACATATGAAAATTGCATGACTTAAGAACTGTTATGAGAATGGTTACTAGAATAATGGTAATACACATAGTTGCCAGAGTTTGGGCCATTTTGAAAATTTGGTGACTTCCATTATGGTTTTGAGTTAATATGTTAAGTACCTATTTATATGTGGCAACACAGGTATATATCTACACTGTCTGTTTTGTCCAATGCAAAATGCCAAAGTTGCATGATACTGAGTCTGTGCAATTCTCTGATGTTTTTCAGGCAGAAACTGATTCTTGTGTACACAGGAAGAATAACAGTACAAAAAAGAAAAATTTCTTGAAAAAATAAGCATTTTACTACAGACTGCTTTTTTAATTTTATTGACTGATTGATCTTGTACATAATTTTGAGTTTACCATCATTTAAAAAATGGCTGTTAATTTTGAGCATTAGTTTGGTGAAAACCTACTTTTCAACGAGTTCGAATGCTCTCCAAAGCTATTAACAAGTTCACGACTTTTTGGTGGCATGGAAATATTGGAAATACAATACTAATTTTATCCAAAACAATACAATACTAATTTATGAGCAGGCACTTTACTTGTAATCTTGTAGTGGTATTAAATACTAATACACTCTTAGGAAAAAAAAAAAAAAAAAAACACCAAGGAGTTATCCGAATGGGATGAAAATCAGTAGAAGTGATGTACACATACAGAAAAACAAATGATTATAGTTTGAGAAAAATTGGATGATTCATTGAAGTGATAGAGAGAGCTTCACAAAGTGAAAAGTCAGTAACGCGCTTGTCCACCTCTGGCCCTTATGCAAGCAGTTAAACGACTCGGCATCGATTGATAGAGGTTTCAAATGTCCTCCTGAGGGATATCGTACCTAATTCTGTCCAACTGGCGAGTTAGATTGTCAACATCCTGAGCTGGTTGGAGGGCCCTGCCCATAAAGCTCCAAACGTGCTCAATAGGAGAGAGATCTGGCAGTCTTGCTGGCCAAGGTAATGTTTGACAAGCAGTAGAAACATGTGCAGTGTGGGGGCAGGCATTATCTTGCTGAAATGCAAGCCCAGGGTGGAGTGACATGAAGGGCAACACAACGGGTCTTAGAAATTCATTGACGTACCGCTGTGCTGTAAGGTTGC